GCTGCACATGGGGTACAACCATTACCGGTTCCCAGAGTTCAACCCTTTCTGCTGGGGTGCTGATGAGCAGGCTCCCCTGCCCAATGCTGAGCACAGCAACCCACCAACCGGACGGCCAGATCTCCCTCCTAGCCTCCAGCCCCAGGAAGCCAAGCGACAACAGAGGTGTGCTAAGACCCCTAGTCTCCCTCCGCCTGCTCCAATACGGTGTTAGTGAGTGTTGATGAGGTGTCTTCCGTGGCTGTGGTGAGCGGGCAGTGCGGGCATCGTCTGGGCTATGCCAGCTAATGCCACCACACCACCCCACTTGCACCCACAGCCCTCAGTGTCTCAGTGCAGGTTAAAATTGGAAGTGGGCACTGGCACTCGGAATGAAGCAAAAAAAAAAATACCCCTGCCAAATGCCGTCTAATGTGCTCACTCCCAAGGCCCTAAGTGTGTGTTTGCGAGGAATGTCATTGGTGGAATTGTTTAAGGTGGAAATAAAATTGGGGGGCAGGTTACCACAGGAATGTGAAAATGGGGTCCATACCCGCACTCCCTGAATTGTCCACCCCCCAAGGTCCTATGTGCATGTTTGTGTGATGATGTGAGGGAGCAGGAGGAGAGAAATATGTGGGGATGGGGAGGAGTGGCTGTTTGGGCTTAGCCCTCCAGGGAGCCAGCTCCCCCACTGGCCCCAATAGGCCCCTCTGTTGTCAAAATGACACCCAAAGCATGGAGACCCCTGTAGTCAAACAAAAATTTAAGCTCAGTAAAATAGAATTACAAACACCACCAAGGCAAGGGGACTTCTATAATCTCAAACCCCCCAAACTACTGTCTAAAGTATATAAGACACTGTCCAAAATAGACAATAGAATAGCAATCCCTATTAAAAAATGGGAGGTGGATCTATCAGTCAGCTTTGACCAGAACTTCTGGTCCCAAACTTGTTTAAAAACTTTTAAAATGATCAGACACTCCAATTTACAATTAATTCAGTACAAAATTCTACACAGAGTACACTATACAGGTCATCGGATGTTCAAGATGGGGTTTGTGTCGTCTGACACCTGTACACACTGCACAAACAACGTTCCTGACAATTACATTCATGCACTGTGGTCCTGTCCACCTGTCCAGGACTTTCGGGGTAGAGTATGTGAAGACCTGTCAAAGTCTCTGAAATGTCATATCCCAACCACCCCCTCTCTTTATTTACTGGAAAACCTGGACGATGTCCCGATTGAAACATCTTTGGTTCACGTGGTTCTGACTGCCATATGCATCGCTAAGAAAACTATCCTCTTGAATTGGAAAAATAGAGAAACTCTCTGCATTAACCAGTATAGAAATCTTTTGTTAGATCATATTACACTTGATTTAGCCTCTGCTTCCACTCCAAATCAATCTCTCTGGGCTCCTTTGATCAGTTCCATCACATAGCGATGACGGGGAATCGTTGATGTTGTCCTGCGGGATGGTGTGGGTGAGGGGGTGGAGGGTCTGAGTTTGGAGTATCTGGACATTCCCTGGAGGTGGGTTCACTGGGGGTGTCTGGGGGGCCGTTGCCCCCCTCTGGAGGTGCTTGGGTTGCCTCGGGGGGTGGACTACTGGCGGTTGTGAGTGGGGCCCTTTGGAGGTCTTAGCAGTGGCCATGGGTCACTGCCCGGCAGCTGCATTGCCCCAGGGCGGGTCTGGGTGGGGGCCTGGGGGCTCGGGGTGGCCAGCCCCGTGGGGGGATCTGGGCGGGGCCTTGGGGTTCGGGTCCTGACATGTATGCTGCCGGGGAGAAGGCAGGAACATGCAGCAGTGCCTGACTTGGGTTCAGGAGCCTCAGGTAGAACTTGGCTCCTCTGCTGTCCCATCACAGGGGAGGGGGAAGACCAGGAGGGGGAGGACCCAACCTTACCTGGATGGATGTCTTTTATAATCCGGAAGTTGTGCAAATGCAGGGATGGGCGTAGATATTCTGCTGGGGTGCGGCGGGGTTGGTGCCCTCGGACTTCGTGAGGCTCTGTGATGCTGCTGCTTTGGGCACAACAACTAATTAAAATTAGCTAACACAAAAAAATTACCATGACACGGCCCATAATGCTGATACTGAGCTAAAATGCCATCAGGTGAGAGTAAGATTGCATGTGATCTTGCGATATGAGATGATCGTTGATGTGAGTATCTGGATGCAGGATCCTTGCAACAGGATGACAGGCTGTTGTAATCATTAGTGGTTTTATTATAACTATTATTTGCTCTTTGAGTCTATGATCGAAGCACATTTATGCTTTCATAGAGTCTGCCTTTCTGGTGAAATGCCGAACACCATCCTCACCATGCTAACATGCTTTTAGTGACAACAGACATAAATCACCTGGAGCATGATGAAGCCACATTAAAAACAAAAGGATGCTATTTATAAAGAGTCTGCTGTGTGAGTTAGGACGTTCTCTCCTTTCAGGAGGTCAGGTCTCAAGACAAATTTTTCCCTTGTAAAACTCTAAATAGTCAAATAAAACTTGGAGCATATTTTAAATTTGAATTGGAATTTTCCAAATGGTTTTAAAGATTTACAGAATAATGTCAAAAGTTGCACGATAAAATGTTATTCAGGAGAGATCATGAACGATGAGCTTCTCTCTTTCAGGTAGAGATCTCGTAACCATGGTTACCATCCAAGTGCATGTTTTCAGAAACAGTTGATGTCAGACCTTCAGCTTTCTCAAACTTTCTGCTAATGGAAAAGAACCAGATGCACCATTTTCAGAAATGTGTGTTTTGCTCATCAAGCCCATGCATTTTTTTCTCTTTGTTTCATTCAAAGTGTTAAAAAAAAATTATATTATATATATATATATATATATATATATATATATATATATATATATATATATATATATATATATATATATATATATATATATACACATATATATATATATATATATATATATATACACACAAACAACATAAAAAACATACATAAACATGAATACCAAACAATTTGAATGAAATGGGGCAGAAGGAAGAAATATCTTACATTATCTGCCCCTCTTTGCAAACCAAACTTTTTAGTAATGCTTCCATACAATTCTCAATAAACAAAACAAAACGAAACACCTTAACGTTTTAACCTGACGTGCATGCTTTAGGTCTGTGGGAGGAAACCGGCGTAACTGGAGAACCCCCAGGCACGAGGAGAACAAGCCAACTTTGTGCAGAAAGGCTGCAGCTAGGCTCTGAACCTGTGAGTTTCTTGCTGTGAAGCAACAGTTCTATCAAGTGCATAATCATGCAGCTCTGCAGAAATAAACAAGAAAACATTTGTTTCGAGTCAATTAATCATCAATTTTATGGATAAACTTTCATTTGGGAGCCATTTATTTTATCTTGCTAATTTAAACTGGTCTAGTTTTACAATCCCATAATATATTAGAGAGGTATATTTAAAGTCTTGAGAGGACCAAAACTTCAAACAAGCTCTGGTTCATCTTTCATCAACACAACAGGAAAATAAACATATTGCTCCTTTTCTAAAACAGAGTTCATCTCTCTGATGACTTGGTGCCAAATAAAACTTTTTGTTTACTGTAATTATTATATCTTAAGTTAGAACACAAGATGGCGGAGTCAGTCAAAGGACAACATTCTTAAAACTTGAAGTGAAACTGAAAACACAGATCCATGTTCTGGTTGCATTAAAGAGAGTAAAGATTTGATAACTGCTAGAATATCTTACACTGAGAGCAGGAGGTTAGGACCCAAATTGCAGAACACCAGATCACTAGGGGCAGGAGCGGTTGTTGAAAGTAAAATTCTTTCTTTAGGATGATGGGTGAATATCCCAAGGGGCAGGAAGCCAAACCGAAAATCAGAAAAAAGAAACTAAACTACAAAACAAAGCTCATCCATGAGCAAGACCCTGGAGTTCCTGAGGAGGACAGAACAACGCTGACACGTACAATAGACCAACAAACACTGAGGGACAAGACAGGGGTTTTTAAACACAGAGGGAAGCAATCAGGGGAACGGGTGACAGGTGTGAGGAGTGAGATCTAGAGGGGAGACAGGTGCCATCAATAAACTATTTGGGGAAAGAACTAAGCAGAGGGGGAGATGAACCATAACCTATAAAACACTAAATAACTAAACCTAAAGACTAAGGGCAAAGATAAACAACTAATGACTAGAGGGGTGAGGAGGACTAATACAAACCAATAGGAACTACCAGGGAGTGACTAGAAGGAAACATGAGGAAAGCCTAGAGAGAGCTGGGGAACACAAGGAGACTCATTAGGAGAACCTGGAGTGAGAACAGGAGGGGGCTGGGGACCAAAGGGACACAGAGCATGACAGTATAAACATAAGAATTTATTTCAAATATAATAAAACAACCCATTCCGCTGTGTTTTTAAAAACTATTCTAACTTGAAACAGTTTTATTCTACCCCTCACAATTTTTAAAGCTAACTTTTACATTTTGGGGCAGCAGTAGCTCAGGTGGTAGAGCAGGTTGCCTCATGATCGGAGGGTCATGGGGTTGATTCCAGCTCCCGCCAGGGGTATCCTGCTGTTGTGTCCTTGGGCAAGACACTTCACCCAACTTGCCTGTGTTAGTGGTGGTCAGAGGGGTCGACGGCGCCAAATGGCAGCCTCGCCTCTGTCAGACCTCCCCAGGGCGGCTGTGGCTACAAGTAGCTTACCATCACTAGCAGTGTGTGAATGTGAGAGTGTGTGAAAGCGTCTTTGGGTTGTCTAGAAAAGCGCTACATAAGTTCAATGCATTATTATTATTATTATTGTTTTGCAGAAGAACCACGTGAGTACATTTGAGTTCTGAGAACAAACCCTTGAGGTATCGGCTCTGTGCATACGTTTTTATGTTTCTCTGAAGATTTAGGAGACAAAAGTCAAGTAAAGCTGCAAAAAGCTTTAAGAGTTTTAATTTTCTGAGTAGCACTAAAAGAGCACCCTCTAGTGGATTTGCTCATACATCAAATCAACATAAAACAAAGTCAAGGTTCAGTGTAAATCTGTGTTTATTAGATTTTGGGCTTCTGTAAATAAAACTTTGTTTCTGTTGTTCTGAGGAAGTGTTTACTTCCACTAGGAGCCCTCAGCTAGAGTTCCTGTAGAAGGAAAGCATGTCATCTAAATTCTGAGGAGCTCCTTCAGGAAGCTGCTGAATCGGGCTTTCAACTCCAGGCGGAGGTGGCTGGATATCATGGGCGGGGGTGGGCAGATACTGGTATGAGGACTGGGGGGGAAACGGAGGAAGGACATGGCGTGGTGGACCTGCAAACTGAAAAGGAGGTGGAGGAGGAAATGGAGGATAAAAAGCAGGAGGTGGGGGATACCGGGGGATAAAAGAGGGAGCTGAGAGGGGGGGTGCTGAAGGCGGGGAGGTCTCTGCAGGTGGGGGCGGTGATGGCTGAGAGGAAGCTGGAGGCTGAAGTTCAGTCTCGCTTTCAGAGACCCCTCCTGGAGCTTTTCTGGACTTGAAGAACATGTGGGCTTTGTTCTCCTGGTGTTTAGCCTTTGCTGGTTTCAGTCTTTTCTCTTCAGTGAAGTAGGCAGTGGGGGGGGCGAACTCCGAGTCCCGCTCATCCCGACGGCGAGATTTCCACTCGCTGAACATGAACTCTGGAAAAAAGTAGTCCAGGCGTAGGATAAGTGATGATAACATTCAGACCAGCTCCACCTAACCTGCAGTTAATCAAGTTAGTTCTGATTTTCCTGTTTTAAATCCATTATTTATTTCTAAGATATTTACCGTTAATATTTTTCACAGCAGATGTTAAGTTTTACATGAGACAGAGGAGACTCGACTGCTTGTTCTGCGATTCACAAACATTTGATGCCTACAGAATCTCAAAAACTTTCTCTGTAGTTCTTTAATACAGAAAACACCCGATCCATGGGCCCTTTCAGATTTGGACAGCGATAAATTACGTCACACTCCCAACACAAAGTACAGATGACACCCATAAATCTGAATATGGTGAAAGTCCATTTATGTCCGTAATCTGGCTTAGACTGAAAAACCATCTAAGGGCTCAGGAACCCTTTACAGATGTTCTGGATTCATTAGCTAGAGTCTAGATTATTTAACCTCGTCACAATATTTTAATAGTCTGAGGTTTTAAATGTGGGTTTTTTCATAAACTGTAAGCCATAATCATCACAGTTATAACTAATATAGGCTGAAATATCTGGTTTGGTATATAATGAGTCTGTCTCATATGTTAGTTTCACCTTTTAAGTTGAATTAGTGAAATAAATGAACCTTTGCACTGTATTCAGAGATTTCCCCACTCCTGTTAATTGGACCATTTTCACACTTGCTATTTTAAAGCTGCAACTGCAAATTTGGAAAATAAATTAGCTAAAAAAAAATTTTTCATGCCTCATAACAACCTTCTAACATGGTTTAGCTATAAATATAATGTAGACATTAAAAAAAGACAAACAAATATTAAAGTGCCTATTTTGCATTTGTCTAAAATCCTCCATCAATAGCACCCTTTGGACCGAAAGCAACTATTGGACCAACCGTTTGTCAGTCTCGCCAAACCACAGCGCTTCTGCACATCCCTGGGTCCTCCAGTCATTACACAGTCACATATTTAGTAACAGAACACCACTGGTGTGAGGATCTCCGCTCAGTAAAATCAGAGGGGAAACAGCCGGCTGCTACCACTTCAACTCCATTTGAAGTCTGAGACAAAAAATACATTTGGACCTAGAAAACGGTGACTGGTGATTAGCCCTCTCTAGTTTCCTCCGGCACTACAGGTTTCCAGTTTCTTCAGGAGCATCTCAGGGAAGATAGCCAAGGGGAGGTGTGAGTTCTCCACGACCGTGTTTGCGTTCAAACCCTACCTTGTTCAGCGGATTCGCCTCAATGGCTTTAATGTCTATAGGATTTGTAAATTTAGAGGTTTTAGTTCTGATGACTCAGGCTCACCTTTGCCCCGATCCCACTCTCTAACATGTGGAACTCCTGGTTTGGTGTCCCTCCTCTCCTGGATCTCCACTTCCACCTTCCTAAGAATGCTGGCCTCTGGTGGTACATCTGGCTGAGGGGTGGGTCCGACAGCTTCGTCCTCTTCATCCTCTCCTGAAACACAGAACCAGTTTTCACCAACAACTCTTGATCATGAACCTGCAGCACTAAATCTGACCTCAACAGCAGCTGAACTGGATGTGGATGCTTACCTGGATTCTCCTCTTCCTTCTCGTTCTCGTCCTCCTCAGTGCCATCCAGCTTTCCCTTTTTCTTCTTCCTCTGCCTCACCTTGGCTAGTCGAGCCTGAAGGATGGCCTTCCTCTTGTCCTTGAGTCGTTCTCTCTTAGTCCGCTGCTCTGTGGTCTGAAGGGAGGGAAGGAAGAGAGGAATTATTTACCTAATTTAGGATTACTTAATGCATTGGTTTTGAGAAGTGTACAATAATTATGGCAGTAGAGAAAACCGCGACAAGCATTTGAAGTCTGGTCCAGTTTATGAAGAACAATAAGAAAAAAGGTTGTTTCTGAATTTAAGAACTTTACAAACCAAAACACTTTGCTCATTTTGTAACCTTTTCTTACACACCATCTAATCAAGTTTCCTGTTGCTATTAACTCATTCACTGCCAATGACGACTAAAGTCGTCATTTGCATTTTTTTACTGTTTGAGAATCAGAACGAGCCCCCGCGCTGAGAGAACAAACATCTCAGCCCTGAAGCCGATCACGTCACGTGATCAGGAAGCAACACATCCATGTGTTAGGAGATCGTTTTGGGCCGTTCCTGTAAAAAAAGTGAGGCGCGAACCGGAAAAGCGTCTGCCGATCACAATTCGACAACGGATTATGAAAGAACGGATAACGCTGAAAACACGCGGATTCTTCCTGATGTAAGAGGAGAGTCTCCGCTTTGTTTTGGTTGTTTTGGCATCGACATCATGCTAGCGTGCAACGTTCTGTGACTCTTAAAAAAAAAAAAAAACAGTAAAAACGGTGAGAAACGCTGGCAGCGAAGGCCGTTAGTGATCAGGAAACGGCTGGCAGTGAATGAGTTCAACACCAACACACACCTGGTCTCTGAGCATGTCCAGAGTTTCCCTCTGCTTTCTGCGCTGCTCTTCATCATGGGCGAAGGCAAAGTAGCCCACACCAAGGTCACGGGCCTCTAAAATGGAGGGAGAAAGACTCTTGTTTCTGACAAAAATAAAGGCTTCAAAACGTTTTGATCTGATCCCATCAGATACTGACCTTGTGCTCTAATATTCTCGTAGTGAACAGGTCCAACGGGCCTCTTCATTGCCTCCTCTTCCTCCCTCTCCCACTCCCGCCTCTGCAGCTCTCTGCGCATGTCCTCGGAGAGTAAGGTGTTCTCAGAAGTGATCGCTCTACAGGAAACAGTCATAAGAATGTGTTTTATCCTGTTAAAGACATTTAAAAGACAAAATCTAAAACTATATGGAAAAGGCTGAATAAAAGTCGTAAACTGATGTTTTTTATTAACACTCGCTCCAACTTGACATGTTGTTTTACCAAAAAAAAGTTAAGCAAGTACAACAACTGGAGAAAATAACCTTTTCCTCTTTTATCTGATCAGGGCTTTTTATTTACATTATGGATAAGTGATTTTTATACACTTCAGTTTACCAACAACTTAGATTCCTTTAGGTTGGGTCATTTCAGAGTATTTTAAACTAACATCCAGTGAAATACTGTAAAAACAGAAACAGCTGCAGAAATTTCTGATTTACTGAAATGTTTACCCTGTTCCTTTAATGTCTTGGTCCAGTTTCTGAAAACTGGGCAGGTCTTTCTTCATGCATCTTCGAGATCGTCCCAAAGCGTCCACAAAATCAACCCTACAGAGAAACATCAGGTTTATCTGGAATGCAAGACTTTCAGTTTAAACATCATTAACCTTGCTGACATGACGCGAAGTTAATCAATAGAATTTATTTGATCAGTTTGTTGTGTCCAAAGTAAACTCATGAATTTAATCTATTACCATTCCTCATCTGGGTTCTGAGGAGGAGGAATAGGGGACAGGCTCTCTCTTTCCTCATCTTCTTGCTCCCTCTTCTTCGGTGCAAATGTTTCTTTTTGTTTGTCAATAATCTTCTGGGTGAAGTCAACAAGGTAAAGGGCTTCTGTCTCTTCATCTGGAGATTAAAAACACATGATTCACACATTGCAAGTGGAACTTGCTCATATAAATATAAAGGAGATTAACTCCACCAACCTGGAAAGTCTCCTTTAGTCATCTGATCATAGAGTCTGGCCTTCTCCTCCAACTTGCGCCTGTTGTGAGACAGATAGGATCAGTCATAAGTTTAGATCTGCTGAATATCCTGGCTGTGACTCTGAACTCACCTGGCTGTGTCGAGGCTGATCTGCTCCTCTGTCAGCTGCTCTGCGTCTTTCGCAGCTCTTGCTGACACGCCAGCATTTTGTTTGCTCCAGATATTTGGTTTCTGTCAGGGTAAAAAAAAGGACTGAGACTTATAAACCTTTCCATGTCACTTAAACGTCCTCTACAGTAAAACCTAAAACTGTACCTTATTGGCTGTGGATTTAGCTCGGTGTCCAGCATCAGAGCTTTCTTGGCCAAGTTTCTCTCGTTTGAACTGCTCCTGTTTTCTGTAGAGCTCCGCTTTCAGATCTACTAACTGTAATAAACAAAAGTAATGAAGTTATGTGGGTGTTTATTTTTCCCTATGCATATTGTACCAGCTGTAAATCGTCGTAGCTAGCAACATTTTCGCAGTAAACACTAGCCAGTTAATCGTTTTGTTTATTTATTTTTTTTTGGATGAAAATCACACATAAGTTTATAAATCCTTAAATCAGGAAACTCACCGATGACGCAGCTACGTCCAATGTTTTCTTCTTTTTATCCATGTTGATTGTTTATATTTTTAATCATTATCTTTCAGTTATGGATGTGCTAGCCTATTTTACCCACTACGCTATTAGCCGTCTGACTTCTTCATTGGTGTTTATCCATTCTAGTGGGTTGTATTACCGCCACCTTCTGGTGGACAACTGAATCTGCAGAAACGTCTGACAAGGCGCTCCTGAAGTTCTGATTAATCTTACTTGTGGCTGGTTTCCTTTTCTGTTGATTAGAAATACCTTACTCGATAGGAAGAGATTGTTTTTGAGAATAAAAAGACGTGTGTGTGTGTGTGTGTGTGTGTGTGTGTGTGTGTGTGTGTGTGTGTGTGTGTGTGTGTGTGTGTGTGTGTGTGTGTGTGTGTGTGTGTGTGTGTGTGTGTGTGTGTGTGAAACTAAATGTAGAACACAAGTCTGGAGTGTGAATGTTTATAATTAAATAAAAAGCACAGTTAAAAAGCCCACTACCAAAACTAATTTGATCAAATTACCTCCTAAATGTATGAAAAATAGGGAAAAATGTCAAGTTAAGATGTGCAGCAGCGGACAGTGTCCCTACATGAAACAGCTATGGTAATTATTAGTGAAACAATGAGTAAACATGTTGTAAATTCTGGCATTTATGGAAGGATTTGTGTATTCAATAACTTGTATTTATAGTTTACACAAATTTGCATGTTTAGGTGTGCATTATAAATTTCACTTGTCTTTGGGATTAGTAGGACTTCATAAACACGAGGAAAAGAAAAATAATTAAAATACAAAGTGCTTTTTGTAATTAATGAAAATAAAAATGTTGGTGCAATGATGAAAAATGCCACCAATGTTAATGATCACTTGTTTCATCTCAGATGGTGAAAAGAAGTCAATTGTTCAGATTAATTACTCAGCGGAGTTTAAAATGAGTATTATGTAGTCACTCATCAGATCTGCAGCAATAGCTTCTATTTAAATAGAAAAAGTAATTTAAAGTCTGGTGTTTTGAAGTAAACAAATACATTTAAATGAGTCCCAATGTTACTCAATATATAAATTCATTAGTGCTTTCACTCAGGATTTAACAGATCCATGTTTAATGGCTGATGTGAGTGAAAAAAAAAAGATCATTTCCATTCAAAAAAATACAGCTTTAACGGTTTCAGAAATATGCAGTGTTGTCCTCTATATTAGGTAAACATCTATATAGACATTTATAAAGGACTTATTTACATTCTATGATTGAGAAGATGCTTGCTAGCCGATGCCCATCCATATAATTAGATGTTTAAGAGTTTGGTGAATTGGACACCAGGTACAAAAGGTAAAGGCAACAAAAACACTACCTACATCTCAGTAACCAGATCACACACTGCTCTGATGTCCATCTTTATTTTTACTGAAGCTTTAAACTGAGTGTGAGTGCTGACCTGCATTCTTCAGTTTAAATGAGGTTTTCTCAGGGACCTGGCAAAACGGGTTTCAACGTACATTTTCTCTGCGGGAAACACATCGACGTAAAAACTAATAATTCTATGACCAACAAACTAACTGAAAATGTCACAGGAATAACATTCTCTGAATAAAAAGCACTTGAGTCCAAATGTGTGTGTGGGATGAAGATGGAGGTCCTGAAGCAGGCTAATGGACCTGACGTGGTGCTGCCTTTCTGCAGTGGTGGTGATTTCACACACTCGTGTTTGACTCTGTACACACTCTTTCAACCTGCATGAATTAATAATTCACCTGAACACACCTGGCAAATAACCATGAGCTGCAAAAGGCTTAATGCACATCAAACCAAACTAAAATGCCCAGCAGCAGGACAAGAGAATACACCCGAACAGGAATATCAGGCGACAGAAACAGACTAAGAATATGAAACAGCTTCTGACTTATTTGAAACAACACAGACTAAAAACATAATCAGGAAACAGGATTTTAACAAGTTTTGAGCATTTTTGATTGTTTAATATAAAACTGCTCCTTCAACCCTTAAGTAATAAAACCTTACACAAAAAACTGCAAAGGATATTCAATGAACTGATTGTATTGTTTTGAAATGCATTTTGTCTGCAGATCATATGCCGTAGAGCTGGGTCGTGTTGTTTCGGATGGTGCTGAGGACCATGGCTTCATCTTCCCCTTTCAGCCAGCTCAGCTCGTGCAGAGTGTGGATGCCCATTCCAGGGTGTGAAAACCGGCAGATGTTTTTACCAACCTGTTAGAAAGCAAAAGACTAAACTATTGATAACATTAAAACACCTGTAATGATCTTTACCAGTTAAAATAAAGCACATTTTGAGACGTTTAACATCTCAGGTCAAACATGCCTGTCTTGGCAGGAAGTACGGTGCGTCCGTCTCCAAGACGATGCGGTTCAGAGGAATCTTGCGGACGGCGTTTCGAGCCTCGGTGGCACTGCTGTAGGTGATTAGAGCGGTGAAGCCCACATATAAGTTGGGGAACTCCGTCAGGAAGGGCTCGATCACCGAGTAACTGTTGGTGAAGCAGTGCCTGAAAACCACACAAGCATAACAAATTACAAATGAAGATAAACACACACCCTACGTTTTACCCTAGAAAACGCTCATCGCCACAGAAAATAAATTAAGTCATTAAAGGTGTCAGAAACTTGTTTAATCAATACATTTCCAGGGGTTTCTGGTGTGAATGAATGCCTTGCAAGCTGTACTCGGGAGTTTTATTTCCTGATATGTGGACATCTCGCCTCGGATTGGCTAACAGCAACACACTGACTCAGTTTACTCCCCGACATTGGCTGTGTTTGAGATGAGCCAGTTCTGCGCAGATTAGACCAGCGGTGATCGGCGAGCAGTGCATGCCGGTGAGATTTGTGTCCGACTTGACGCCGACTTGCTCTGACGTCATGCATACGTAGGCAACGATAACCTCGTGAGATCAAGGCGGCCGCAGATTTTGGAGCAAGGCGCTGCAGTTGCTCTCCACCGGCTGCAAAACCTAGAGGACGACGGGAAACGCTTGGCTCTCACCTGATCTAAGATCTGACTGGTTCATATTTTGATCCAAACATCCGGTGGTAGAACATGAAATGTTAGTTGGTCACATGTATTCTGTAAATCATGTTATGTTGATGATGACAACTATATAGGCCATAAAGAGAAATGTGTTTTGTGTTTTTTTGTCACGTTTCCTATGAGCACACTAAACCTACAGCTGATAACCTTTACTTATTATTACAGTCAGGTCTCCATATAGAATATATGATATCCACAAATACGTGAGGATGTGTTTCAGTTGCTAACAGGCAGCAGAATTAAAATAAATAATTAAACAAGTGTGAACGCTAACGGGATATCTTCAGCCATCGTCACCCCCGAGCTACACATGCAGGGAAATCTATCCGACTTAAACGCCGGCTTTCAGCCACTCCCCCTGCTGCATCCGTCTGCTCTCGTCTGTTTTCCAGGCGAGGCGCTGCTCAACTCGAGCACGGCCATTATCTTGGGTTATTGAAATATTTGCATACATTGTTGTACGTAGATAAATATGAGACATTTTCTCCAAGAAAAAAGTTTTTTTGGAGCTTGAAAGAACGAACCCTAAACACGTAAGACCAATGATGATGCAGGTTTCCTAGTTATCAACATTAAAAATACACAAGTAAAAGGCAAATATTTCTAGAATCAAACAGTTTTGTTGAAGAACAAAACACGAGCAAAGAATACATATGAATCTGATCAAATGTAACACAGATTTGGAGAAAAAAAATGAAAATTCCTAAAAGTAAAAGGTATCGATGTTTGTCCAAATGTTCGCTCACCTGTGGATTTTGTACTCTCTGGGAACACACTTCTTCATGATAGCCAGCAGGTCGTCATCCGCATCCCTGCAGTGGATCACCAGAGGTTTCTGCATGCCCACAGCCAGGTTCAGCTGACGCTCAAACACCTCGAGAAGAAAAGTAAAGACAAAAGCACCACGTTAAACCTTTCTTCTCACTCTACTACTGTTTGGACCCTTTTAATTTAGAATAGCCATTTCTAGATAAACAGAACGCTGGTTGTTGCAGAAGACGTGAATCAGAGCTTACCTGTTTCTGCTTTGAAGCGTCTGTTGAGTTTTTGTGAGAGTAGTCCAGCCCCATTTCACCAAACGCCACAGCTTTTGGGTGTCTCATTGCCTTCATTATACTGTGCTCCTGAAAATTGGAGTAATTGTTGGCGAAATGAGGGTGGCAGCCGAATGCCCCCCAGACCATGTCTTCACCCAGCAAGCCTTCCCACAGGTCCTCCTTCACCATCAGTCTAGGGTTGCAAAAGTCTGTAATACAGCCTCGAAACTCCGGACTGAAGCTCTTCTTGTAAAGCTGTCGAAAGTAGCCGAATGTGCCTCTGAAGCCAAGTTTCCCATAGAGCATGTCTAGATGGCAATGTGTGTCGATGAAACCAGTACGACTGTTATAGTCGGGGTAACTGGTCCACAACGGTTCAGCACCCAGGGACAATCTTCTTGTAGGAGCAGAACTGGGGGTTAAGGAGTGAGGGGAGCGACACATGGAGGAGTACCCCTCACTTTGCCTGCGTGGTGCCAAAGAAGAGCAAGATCCTCCTCTGTTTGAGAGTAAAGGCAGAGAAAAGGGATCCAGTGAGTGGGCCATGAAGGATGAGGAGACGTTCGGTGTCTTGGCTTGGAGAGAGTTTAAGGAAGATCTGGTTGGTGGGTTGGGCTGCTTGAATGAGAAAAAAAACGTCCTCTGTGATGGGGAGAAATGCTGCTCGTCATCCTCTGCAACTGCCTGACTTGGCTCAGAAGCTTCAGTAGTGGAGAAAACAGGAACCGATGTTGATGTTTTAGCTTCTTGGACAGTCTGGAGAAGCAGGTTCTTCTGGCAAAACATGAAACTAGGCAAAGAATCTGGAATCAATTCCAGCAAACGGATGGGCGAGTCATGATCCTCTACTTCTGGATACCTTTCTGGAGTAAACAACTTCCTGTGAGTGGTGGTCTCAACATAAACGGAGTCCTGTAGAAAACAAAAACAAAATGTAAGTCTTTTGTTTTTTTCTGTTGAATACTTTATAACTCAACTCTCAAACGGTTGCTCTTTTGAACAACAAAAGTTCTAAGAAAACAAATTCTTACCAACCAGTGTTTACTTACGCTTTCTTTGGATTGTGTGTCCCCAAAGGTCCGCACTGGAGAACTGTGATCCTCTTCTAGAGGAACAATATCTTCAAATTCTTCCGGATTACTTGAAAAGCAGCAGGTTTCCAAATCTGTTCTGTCCAGAGACGGTGGACTGGGTTCTTCAGGTTCAACAGGAGAGGATACAGAGGGCTTAGAGTCACTCTCAGTGTCGGCCAAAAGCCTTTCAGCTGTGCAGAGATCTGTTTTTTTATTGCTAATGGCTGCCATTAATGCCATCCTGCAGATAGCCCTCGATCCCTCCTCAGGTGTCCTCTCCTTTTTTTTCAGGATGAAAGTGTGAGACGAAGGTTTAACTACTTCTTGACTCTTTGGCGACTCCAGGTGCTTGGGTGACTTGTTTGTAGGCAAATCCTGTGACAAATGCAGATAAATCAAAGCTAAGACTGCAGCTAAGGTTGAAATTTAAAAATAGTACAAAAAATGCTTATCAGAAAAATAAAGACCTACCACTTGTGTTGTAAAATCATCCTCAGAGAGCTTCCTCAACTTGACTTTGCCTGCAGAGGGCAGACTTTCACCAGAGAGCTCTAATTTTCTCTTAGGGGTGTTCAGAGAGAGTGCTCCAAAACTCTCTGATCCGGGGGAGTCGGCAGGGGGAAGTGTCGTCGGTTTGTTTTGGGGGGTTTTGCAGGGAGAAGGTGTGCTTGAGCCCTCATCTCCCCTTTGGGCACGTGCTGAACTGAAGACGGTATTCAGCCAGTTAAATTTCACCTTCTTTCTGTTGCTGTCCATGTCTGACCCTTAACAGAATACGATAATCTAAATGAGAAAATGTGTGATCGCCTGGCGGTCAACTGTTCAGCCATATTATTCCAACCAAAGAGGGATGTAATAAGACAAGTCAATCAAATTCAATAGCAAGGTGTTCCAAAAAAAAACTGCTTTGGGGTCGCTGGTCTACTGGCTCGACAATTATTCCCGGCTGTGTCGAATCGAATGCTCACGTTTCATTAATTATTGATGGTAAACACTTCAAATTGACTTTTAACTCATTTTTATGACCTAAATCTTCAAAAAATGTTACTCCAATAGTGAAATGTTTTCATGGTATTGACCAGTTTGACCCGTTTGAAATGAAGGCGTAATAAAGTGTTTGCTGGGCTAGCATCTTAAAGTTTTGGCTAGCTTAGCTACTTTTCACGGCTTTCACACAATAAATAATTTTTATAATACGTGTTGTGATATTGTCATTAGACCACATTTTATATGTGTTTTTATATTGAAATAAGTGACGTTTTAATAAATATTTAAAGATGATTGTTAAGTTACCTTTTCTTCTGGGTTATAGCAGGAGAAATGAACCAAAGTGGAAGGGCGCAAATGTAAACCGTTAGAAGCACCGATAACAAAATATTTTAAAGAAAGCCACGTTGTTGAATTATCTAATGTCGACTGAAAATATTTTTACATTAGGCGAAACTCTAGATGGCGTCTGAGTGAACGGTACACGATTGAAACTTGACGATGCAATTAGATCTCGCGAGAATAGCGGGAAATGCCGTGTTTTCTTGTTCTTTTTACAACTGGCAGTCAGCCCAGTAAAAAACTGAAAATACACACAGACCAGCTAATGAGTCGTGCTAATAAAAATAAAATGATTACACTGAAATATATTTTTATTAGTTTTCATGAACAAGAAATCCTTTTCAAATTGAATGTCTAACAATGTTTGTATGCTGTAAACACATAAGTAGATTTAGTTGTCTATTAAAACTTTAAAATATAATTAAGCAATAACGAAGGTACAAACAGAATAATTCTGTGAAATTTTCTATTTGAAAATAACATTAACAGTGGAAAAAGGATTCTGTTCTTTACGTGTATTTGCTTTTTCAAATGCATGATAACTGTTCCGCTTGAGAATATTCCTACTGCAATAAATAATAGTTGATTATTTTTAATTAAAAGATCTATATTACCTCAAATTCTTTTGATGTTTCCAAAGAAATAACAGAGGTGTGAACAAAGACTGTGGTCCTGCCGCAAATGTTCAGCTCCAAGGCTCAGGAAAAAGACTAATTAAAATGGACAAGGCCCTTTCATTTATTCAATTCCTTCATACCTTTAATCATGGAAATTTATTAAGCACAAGCATTAATGTGAACAAATAATGTAGATAAACATCCAGTGAGAATTGTGTTACATGGGAGGCAAAATAACAGTATTTGCCTGCTTTTTGAAGAGAAGAAAGGGTCATTTTATGCAGGTCTTATTACAAAAATCTTAAATGTTTTAAATACAATAATTTTTCAATTAAATATTTTCCAAGAGATAAACATTCACATTTACATGATTTATGATATTTTACCAAAACAAATAAAAATACAACTGCAGATGCAACAGATGGTGTATTTTCCCACTTAAAAAGAAAAGAGATGTTTGTAATTTTCACAGGTAAACTTTAACTGTGAGAAACAGAAAGTAAAAAGTATCATGAGATTACATTGTATGATTTTTAAAGAATCATGTTTTTATAATGGTGCAGAAAACAATTATTTGGTCAATAACAAAAGTTCACCTCAATACCTTGTAATGTAACCTTGGGTGGCTATAGAGGTAAAACATTTCCTGCTGTTTTTCACCAGGTTTTCACACACTAGCTGGTATTTTGGCCCATTCTTGTGATGTTTAGGGATGTCGCTGGGCAACATGGCTTTCAGTACCCTCCATAGATTTTCTATTGGACAGAGGTCTGCAGACTGGCTAAGCCACTCCCGAACCATGACATGCTTTTCAATTCAATTCAAAGATACTTTATTAATCCCAGAGGGAAATTAGAGTTTCAGTACACACAAGTCAGAGATCAGACATACATAGGCAAGACACATGACAAGAATCGGTGACTGTGGTCATTCGCAACCCTGAGTAGCGCTACCTTAATAGAGATCAGAGGGTTACATAAGGATTGGTTAAGGTGGAGGGAAAAAAAGGCACTTCAGAGCTACCCTCCACAGGGAGGGCAGCTTTGCTCTGCAAAAAATCACCTCAGACAGAGATGCAAATGACTTCGGACATCACACAACATAAGTGTCCACTAGGTGGGGTGGTGGGTTTGGGACTATCCACACTTCAGTTCCTGCAGCCACGATAAGCAGCGCACGTCACTTCAGTCTGAACAGGGGGGTGAGGTCGTTGAGGTTTGGAGTGTGCAGACTCCTGGAACAATTCTTCGGCCTTCACAGCCCGAAGTCCCTCCCAGGCTGGGATAGGAGACAGAGTTGCCATAGTGATGGCATTCCACATTTCTTCTGAGGGGGGAGTATTTGTTGGAGCCTTACAGGCTCAAGGGCACCAGATTCAGATTAGAAATTGTTTTGGGGCCAAACAGAGATAATTTCCTCTCTGTCTTAGAGTTCCTTGGTCCTCAACCTCTCAAAATCCCAAAAATAGCGTACATTAATCTATCCCAATCCGTGCTGATTCGTCCACTTTCTCCTTGATGGCATCCATCTTTTGTGCCAAAGCATGAATCTCGGCCAAAGTCCCAAGCTTACGATTCATCTCGACAATTATGGGAGCCTGTGAATTCACAGCGCGGTGCAAACCATCTCTGAGCTCTGGGAGCAAGCCAATATTCCTCGACAGCTCGTTAATTTTCCGGTAAGCCAGGTAGCCTCCTAGGCCAATGAGCAGGAAACCTGACACCAACACCACGAATATCCACACGTCTTCAGAATCCTCTACAGACAGCTGAGATAAACAGATCAAGTTCCAATGTTTCCAGGAGTCCATGATGTGTCCAACTGGGTCTGTCCCAGAGGGGCAACCGGGAGCCCTTTCTCCCGTTCTCATAGTTGAAAAAATTTTATCAGTCGCGTTGAGTGACCAACCGACCAGGTCCATTTTAGTCATTTCAGTTTCCAGTTTCCAGAAAAAATGCAGAAGCAGCCGTGCACCAGCACAGAGACAGACAAAGAGCCTTGAGGGTAAGATAGGAGGAGAGGAAAAAGAAGTGTCTGCATTCCCCAAGAGCCGGAAGAAGGAATGTGTCAGTTTTGAAGTAGTCACTCCTTTGTTGCCCAGACGGTGTTTGGGATAATTGTCATATGGTAGATCCAGCTACGTTTCAACTTCAATGCTCTCACTGATGGAAGGAGGCTTTTGCCCAAAATCTCATGATACATGGCCGCCATTTGCCAGCATTTGTAATTGGACACCGGCTAATAAAACGCAGTAGCATTTTGTAAAGATCCTATGCCAGTATTAGGAGCAACCTGAACCTATAACAAGCCATGGCATTTTTTACTCTAATATTGGGTAAAGAAGGCTAGCAATGCTAACAGCAGGGCTATTTATTGAAGTTTTTAGCTTATAGCACTGGTGCTATGAAGGTTGTAGGTTTTGTAGGACAGAAAACAAAGCTGTAGCACCAGCATTCTGTTACAATCTCTATAAACCATAAGTAGCTGACAAACCAACTAATGGATATAATAAAAACACAGTAACAGCAACCACCAAAGCAATTTCCTATCGTGAGTCTCGCTCACATAGTTAGCAATAAAGCTGATTCTGTAATATCTGCAGGCATGTTTATTTGTCAGTGTAATTTCAAAAAGAACATTTTCATTTATTGTGTTTCGTTCTGGTGCAGGTTGGGTTTTTGTTTCTTCTTGTTTGCATGGTTTGTTTTTCTGTTGAAATAGGGCTGCAGCCATCGAATATTTTAGTGTTTGATTATTCAATTGAATTCAGTTAGTCAAATATTCCATTTGACATTTCAAGTGAAACGAGACTGTGCTCTGCTGCTACAAAAATTTAATAAAACAACTAAATTATGAGGCTGAAATGTCAGACTCTTAAAAGGCTCACTAACATGTATTATCTGGTATTTATAGTCATTTTACATTTATATCACTCATCCTAGTCTAAATTACATATCTAAATACATCCACAGTTAAACTGCGATTAGTAGAATTTCATGTATTTCACTAACATGTTCAGTAGTAAGCTACTGGAATGACAACATTTAGTTTCTACTAGTAATAATGTGATAGTGGCATATCTGTTGTGTATGGGTAAGCAATGGTGATGTACCGACATGGACGTAATTTTTTTTGGGGGGGGGGGGGGGGGACATGCCCCCCCCTCACACACACACACACACTTTTTCCAAAGTGAAGTTTTGACCCCTGCACTTTTTAAAACAATATTACGCTATATTAAATTGACACTAGTTGAGCTCTAGGACCAAGCGGAAAACAACCGTTTGTGTTGAAGCCTGTTTCCCATTAGAGCATAAGTAAAGATATTGAAATTGATTTTAGGCTATATCGCCTAGCCCTACAGCATTTTATCGGCTTTGTAGGCCAATCAAGTCGTTTTGTTCATTTAGTGGGTGGGATAATGCAACGGAGTGGAAAAAGATGGTGACGGCTCATTTGAAATTGCTTTTACATCAATTTAGGATTTTTTGGACTTGGGCCTTGTTAGAATCATGAGCAGATACAATGTATGTTTTAAGTCTTTTATTTAGAAAAAGGATGTATTTTTGCCTTCTTCAACAGCGGACTGCCTCGTTGACCAACATCCATTGAGGTGAGTATGTCATGTTTTTTTTTTTTTTTTTGTCCAGTAGCATGCGGATATCGTTTGAAAGACAAAGGTAGAACCCGCCTCACCACCGAGAGCCGTCAATGGAATGTTATTTAGACTAGCTTGTCAGGCTAACGTAGGTGGTAACTACTATGGAACTCAGAACGGTATTAAGAGAGTTACTTTTGTGTTATGAAAACAGACTGCAGTAACCAAATTCGACCACAGGGTGTCTTTCTTACTTCATTCTTACATAATGTACCTTTAAGCAGAGGAATCCTTTGAGAGATTCAGGATTTTAATCCACTGGGACGCAGTGTGTTACTATTAGTAACAATTATTACTGTGATCCCAGCTCTCTTTGGGTCTTTGGCCAGTTCCCCCATGTAGTTCTGGGCTGGTTCCCCACCATTTTCAAGATAATTTGAACCTCAGGAGGTGAGATCTTGCATGGAACCCCAGGTCAAGGGAGATTATCACTGATCATGTATTTACTCTAGTTTCTAATAATAACTTTAACAGTTGAGTTTGCCTTACTAAACGTTTGTAGATTGGCTCATCCCAGTCTTGTGCAGGTGTACAATCATGTCTTGGGTGTTCTTAGACAGGTCTTGGCCATGGTGGATGTTGGAGTTTAACTGTCTGACAGGTGTCTTTTATACAGGTCCTTCTCAAAAAAATTGCATATTGTGATAAAGTTCATTATTTTCTGTAATGTACTGATAAACATTAAACTTTGATATATATTAGATTCATTACACACAACTGAAGTAGTTCAAGCCTTTTATTGTTTCTAATATTGATGATTTTGGCATACAGCTCATGAAAACCCAAAATTCCTATCTCAAAAAATTAGCATATCATGAAAAGGTTCTTTAAACGAGCTATTAACCTAATCATCGGAATCAACTAATTAACTCTAAACACCTGCAAAAGATTCCTGAGGCTTTTAAAAACTCCCAGCCTGATTCATTACTCAAAACCGCAATCATGGGTAAGACTGCCGACCTGACTGCTGTCCAGAAGGCCATCATTGACACCCTCAAGCAAGAGGGTGAGACACAGAAAGAAATTTCTGAACGAATAGGCTGTTCCCAGAGTGCTGTATCAAGGCACCTCAGTGGGAAGTCTGTGGGAAGAAAACTGTGGCAGAAAACGCTGCACAACGAGAAGAGGTGACTGGATCCTGAGGAAGATTGTGGAGAAGGACCAATGCCAGACCTTGGGGGACCTGCGGAAGCAGTGGACTGAGTCTGGAGTAGAAACATCCAGAGCTAGAGTGTGCAGGAAATGGGCAACAGGTGCCGTATTACCCGGGTCAAGCCACTTTTGAACCAGAAACAGCGGCAGAAGAGCCTGACCTGAGCTAAAGAGAAGCAGCACTGGATTGTTGCTCAGTGGTCCAAAGTACTTTTTTCGGATGAAAGCAAATTTTGCATGTCATTCAGAAATCAAGGTGCCAGAGTCTGGAGGAAGACTGGGCAGAGGGAAATGCCAAAATGCCTGAAGTCCAGTGTCAAGTACCCACAGTCAGTGATGGTCTGGGGTGCCATGTCAGCTGCTGGTGTTGGTCCACTGTGTTTTATCAAGGGCAGGGTCAATGCAGCTAGCTATCAGGAGATTTTGGAGCACTTCATGCTTCCATCCGCTGAAAAGCTTTATGGAGATGAAGATTACATTTTTCAGCACAACCTGGCACCTGCTTACAGTGCCAAAACCACTGCTAAATGGTTTACTGACCATGGTGTTACTTTGGCCTGCCAACTCTCCTGACCTGAACCCCAGAGAGAATCTGTGGGATATTGTGAAGAGAAAGTTGAGAGACGCAAGACCCAACACTCTGGATGACCTTAAGGCCTCTATTGAAACGTCCTGGGCCTCCATAACTCCTCAGCAGTGCCACAGGCTGATTACCTCCATGCCACGCCGCATTGAGGCAGTCATTTCTGCAAAAGGATTCCCGACCAAGTGTTGAGTGCATGACTGAACATAATTATTTGAAAGTTGACTTTTTTGTATTAAAATCACTTTTCTTTTATTGGTCGGATGAAATATGCCAATTTTTTTGACATAGGAATTTTGGGTTTTCATGAGCTGTATGCCAAAATCATCAATATTAGAAACAATAAAAGGCTTGAACTACTTCAGTTGTGTGTAATGAATCTAATATATATGAAAGTCTAATGTTTATCAGTACATTACAGACAATAATGAACTTTATCACAATATGCTATTTTTTTTGGAAGGACCTATACACGTAACAAGTGGAGGATAGAAGAGCTTCTTAAAGAAGTAACAAGTATGTGAGGGCCATAATTCTTGCTTGTTTGTGGGTGCTAAGTACTTATTTTCTGCACTAGTATACAAATAAATTAAGGGTCTCTTTATTAACGTTTCTTAGTGCATTATTAAGCATTAATAAACCATTTTAAAGTGTTAACAGCCGCTTTTATGCATTACATAGCATTACCAAACATATTATTTAATGAATTATTAAGCAGTTACTAATGTCTATTACTGAACCTTACTAATGAAGTACTAAGCTTTTTTGACCCTTATTGTAAAGTGTAAACATGTATGCATTTATAAACACTTTTTAAATGCTTAATAGATGCCTAAGCATTACTTAAGCATTACTTAACCATAATTAATCATTACTGAATGAATTTTGGACCCTTAGGTTCAGTAATAGACATTAGTTAACTGCTTAATATTGCATTAAATAATATGTTTAGTAATGCTATGTAATGCATAAAAGCAGTTGTTAACATTTTATGTAATGGTTTATTAATGCTTAATAATGCAACATTAATAAAGGGACCCTTATTGTAAAGTGTTACCAATAATTTATTTTAAAATCCTCCAGTGATTTCCTGGAGGTCTTTTTCTTTACTTTCTGTTTCTCACAGTTGAAGTATGCCATGTGATTAAAAATATAGACCTCTCTCATCCTTTTAAGTGGGACAACTGACTGCCAAACACTTTTTGCCCAACAGTACTTCCTTTGTATACCACTACTTCAAAAGTGTTTTATATGTGCAGGGTCCAATCACTTCTCTGGATTAAACAAATGAAGATGGCAGTGCTCAGAGAGATCCACCAGATGAATATTTTCCTGTCTTTTAAATGTGGAAAGCATAGTTTAGAGAAATGTTTTTCAGCAGTAAAAGAGATTTAGGGCACAGATTTTACTTCCTGCCATCCTCATGTGGTTGAGAATGTTGCATCAGGTTGTTAAATATTGTTGAAGTTCTGCGGTGAGAGTTTGGATCCATACTTACTGGATGAGCTCTTCTTCTCGGCAAGCCAGCAGCAGAAGTTTCTTCTGGCTCGGTCATGGAACACATTCCTGTACTGTGGCAAGTTTTGAGGTGCAATAACAGCTTTTGGTGAGCCTGATTAAGAAGATAACATGGAAATTCAGAGGAAAATTGACTAAATGAGGAAATTCTGCTCCATGTAGGACTTACTTATTGCTTGCACATTGAAAGGAATGGGATCATTCGCTCCACTTTCAGTAAGAGGAGGCAACAGGCAGATCTTGTTCAGAGCATGTTCATTTTCATGTTTTTCACACACTAAGGAACATCATAAAGACACTGAAAATTCACATTTACCTTCTTTTCCAAATGCAGACTTTTCTTTTTATCTTGTCCCAAACATTTTCACAAACCTGAATCTTTCAACAGAACAGCTGGACGGTATATGTAAGATAATTTGGAACCTGGAAGGAAACAACTGAGCGTTGTGAGGTGCGAATCATGCAACCTTAAGGATTTTTATCAGCTTCTGGAATAATCTGTTTACAACTCTTATCACGGTTTTTATTCTGCTCCAGTGATCTGTCTGGAGGTTAGGGAACATGACCGGGTGACTTTTCAGCCAAAACATCTTTCTGATGGAAGGGAACAGAAAATAAACAAATAAATGATGAAAGCTAGATGCTACATCTGAGTGAGGCACAGCAAAAGCTCTCTGGGACGTACAGCTCTCTCCTGAAATGACCAGAATACCTGGTTTTTCTCTTTGTTCCTGATGATACCACACTCAACTCATCCCACACACTTAAAGATGTGTTGTGTTTCTCGGTTGCATAGCAACAAACCTGGCAGTGGTGCTAGTGCTGCACAAACTGGAGCCAGCTATAATTTCAGGAAGTGACAAGTGAACATGTACGGAGCATCCTTGTGCAGTCTGAGCGTTCAAGTCAGTGTTAATTTAGATGTTGTTGAGCAGACACAAGGGCTTCATTTATAATACGTGACATTTTTACCCTTTTTAAGAGAAATCTTAATCCTCCCACTGTCCTAATGGGTGTGACCCCGCGAGGAAAGGTGACCATTGAGCAGGGTTGATGGTTTATCCCTTGGGGTCCATATGGCAGGGGTGAGGAGCACCACCTCAACCCTGCCACGTCACACCCATTAGGACAGTGGGAGGGTTAATGCTTTAAGTATTTTCTAAACTGTGACTGTCATGCACTTATTAACAATTCTAGAGATAAAACCATACAACAATTAAAAATTTTAAACTATAATATACAATAATTTTAAATTTATGAGTCAGAGTTAAATTTGGCCTTACAACATCAAATACCTGTTATGGATCTTTTGTTTGAGAAAACATTTTAAAGTTTGTGCTTTTTTTAATGGAACAAGCAAATAAAGACAAACAATTAACTTCAAAAACCTTTATAAGCTGCAAAAAATATAGCTTAACATTTATTCATCTTTAAAAAATCATGAAAAAAGTATTTCAGATACAACAGAAATGTGTAAATAAAAATCTGAATGACAGAAGAAGAAACCAATCAGCAAACAAGTTCTTTGCTCAAAGAGTTTCATTGTAAGACAAAATATTTCCCAGTTGCAGCATATTCCACTCTCAAATCGATTTTAAACGTTTGCATATGAAAAGCCATGCATTTGTTTTGAGACACTAAATATTGGGCAAAAATGTTATGTTGAATTAGAGGAAAGTTTACTTCAGCTGCTCACTGGATCTGACAGACAGCAAGTCAAAGTGAGCTTTCTTCACAGCAAATAGTCTTTCTAACATTTAATCTAATTTTACAAGTTCCTTTGATTATTTGCTGCTGGCAGGAGCATTTCAGCATGTCTGACTTCATGCCTCTTTTTCCTCCTGGTCTTGGATCCTCTCTAGCAGATGCTGCTCCACTCGCCGGTTCATGCGCTGGAGATCTTTATCAAAGCTGGGCTGATCTTCAAGTTCCTCGTAAAGTGTGTGTATGATTTCCAACCTTCTGTAGTCTTCTGGTCGAACCAGGCGTCGAACAACGTGAAGAGCTCGAGTCTTCAGACTGTCAACTGTAACATGTCAAAAGAAATGTTAAGAGGAATCTGCTGGATTATAACTAAGAAAACCCCATTCTTACATTGAGGTTTTTGAGTGAGAAATTTTTAATAGATAAAAATGTATTACATATTTTCAAAATTACCGTTATTCTTAGAAAACAGTATTTATTTATCAAAATGTCACCCAGTTTTTGTAGCTTTGTTTTGAAGAAATGCATTTTTACTGATGGAGAGACGTTTCTTTTTCGTGTATTACGACTCTGATCAACAACAGTTTAGAAATCATGAAAAATGCAAAAATATTTCTTCTTATTGGGCAATCTAAAAATAGAATCAGACATTTACACGACACTTTTCCTTTGTCTCACCTGGTAAATTAATATCAACAAATACATCCCGTCTGTCTTCTGGTTTAGGAACAAACAACTCTTTGCTGTTGGCTCTCAAAGGCTCATCGGTGGCTGCATCTCTGAACATCCATGGATGTCCTGGGGAAGGAATAAAAAAGAATAAATCTAACATAAAAAATATATAAATAAAATTACAATTTTACTAAAAGTAAAAACAAGATTAAACAAATGTGTTGCTATTTTCTACATTTTGAACAAACAGACATCTGCTCACCTACGTAGGTGGTTATTTGTCGCCCTTTACCTGGCTGTATGACATCGTAAGGTCGAGCCAGACCACGGTAATCTATCCACAAAGGCTTTACAACCCGAGGGCTGCGGTTACAAAACACGGCATTAACACGAATCTGACTGTTGATGGAGCGAACCAGGGGAAGAGGCTGCTCTTCCTCTTGAGGCATCGGTGCCGACTAACAAGAAATAAACAGTACGAGGAGAAATGTTAGCTCCGCGGCTAACTCGCTAGCAGCTAACTAAATAAATTCTTAGTTATTAACGTCATAAGGTCATTAATATAAAGCCAGACACATCGAACTATTCTTCGGGTGACTTTATGAGGTGTAAAGTACGAAAAACAAACAACTAATTACCACGTTTGCTATGAAAAATATTTCTGCCCCTAGCTTCTACTCCATTCGTTTACAGTCAGACTTCCGGTAAAGACACAATGTGATTGGTTTAGATACATGTCACGTGATCTCAAGCACAAAACAAACGTGTTGTACGTCACAACTAGCCTAGTGATCTAGACCAAATTCTTGCTTTGCAAAGTTTAGAAATAATACATGTATTTAGTCTGGCTTGCCAGGCTACGTCACAACCACACCGAGTGTAAATGATAAATGACCCGCACTTGTAAAGCGCCTCTCTGAGTCAGGACTCCAAAGCGCTTTACACAGTGTATCATTCATCCATTCACACACATTCATACACTGGGGATGAGCTACGATGTAGCCACAGCTGCCCTGGGGCGCACTGACAGAGGCGAGGCTACCGAGCACAGGTGCCACCGGTCTCTCCGACCACCACCGGCAGCCAATGTGGGTTAAGTGTCTTGCCCAAGGACACAACAGCAGAATTCTCTGTCCGGAGCCGGGATCGAACCTGCAACCTTCCGATTACTGGACAACCCGCTAGGTGTAGGAAAAAATAGTAAATTTGTTATATTTTAGCTGTTTTATAAAAAAAAATTAAGACTTCTTAGATACAGATGATCCGTTCATAATTTGTTTTTTATTCCATTTCCTTGAAATATTGAAACGAATATAAGGCTAATAAAAGTTAGTTATAAGGCTAATTCAGCCTCTCTGATTATATTAGCACAGTTATAATATTTTAATAGTGAATCTGCGTTATATTTATTATTAGCCAGTTTGTTGCAACTGTGAATCCACATTGAAGCTCCACTACAGGTTATTTTATGATTTCTAGAAGGGTTGAAATAGGAGACAAAAGAACGGAAAGGGTATGTTTGCAATAATCGTATCATTATCATCATTATATTTAATATCCTAATCATTTTCACCACATAAAGATTGCTAAATTTAGCATCTAGTATGTCCATATTATTAAAGCGTAGGACTGGGCAATAAATCAGAAATGTATCATCGAAATTCTTGACTCATATCCAGGTTATTTTTCCCACGTGAATGTAAAATGTGATAAATAACAATAAATTTGATCATTAAAAAAATGAAAAGATGTGTGTAGTTTGGCAACATTCATGTCCCTTTCAAAGGTTGTACCACCTTGAATCACATCCACAACTTTTGTTTCTGCGCATACCTTATCGTCCATTTATCATTATCAGGTGAAATCCTCAATATATTGTGACGTTGATTGTAGGTCATATCGCCCAGCCCCAAAGCTGTATTAAAATGAAGCTGGTGTGAATGAAATTAGATCTAGGAATATTCAATACAGCTGTTTATCAATTTGAGGATCATTCAGTTTGCAGATTAATCAAATAGCTGTAAATAAGCAGTCCCCATGACTGTGTCATTAGAAGCAGGGGTATGACATAACTATGAACTCCGCCCAACCTTTTCTTCGTATTAAAACTGGGAGTGCAGCAGAAGAGAGCAGAGAAAGAGCTGAAACCAAGCTGTTGTCCTCTTCAACTCCAGAATAAAGTTTGCGTTTTAAAGCTTGGCAGAACAGACTCTAGCGATAAAAAACAGTCTTAAAAGTAATCATATGATTTTTTATGTCGGGTTTTCCCATTGTTAGAAATTGTCTGCACTCATTAGAGAGTTTAGAATTAGACCACACATCTATATTGTGACACGAGATCGAACAGCATGCGCGCTCTGAATGACAGCGATGCGGAGGATGCTCCGAGGGACGAGAGCCTGGCCAAGGTGGAGATCGCGCTGCTCAGCGTCATCTTCGTGACCGCAGCCATCCTCAACACCGCGCTGCTGTTGGTTCTCTGGAAGCAGCGGAAGCAGATGTCCAGAATGCGCGTCTTCGTGTTCCACCTGTGCCTGGCGGACCTGGTGGTGGCTTTTTTCCAGGTGTGTCCGCAGCTCATTTGGGACATCACCGACAGGTTCGTTGGGCCTGACTTGGTGTGCCGCCTTGTGAAGTACCTGCAAGTCCTGGGCATGTTCTCATCGACCTATATGATCGTGGTGATGACGGTAGACAGACACCAAGCCGTCTGTAACCCCATGGTGAAATTTCAGCGGAGGCGCGCGAGACTAAATCTCCCCGTGTGCGTGGCGTGGGGGCTGTCTCTGCTGGGCAGCCTGCCGCAGATTTTTATTTTCTCTGAGGTAGAGGTTGCACCCGGAGTCTTTGACTGCTGGGCTGAGTTCATCCAGCCGTGGGGGCTGCAGACCTACATCACCTGGACCACGCTGGTCATCTTCATTCTACCTGTTGCCACAATTCTTGTTTGCCAAGTGCGCATCTGCCAAGCCATCCAGACCAACCTAAAGAAAAAGACTCACAAGCAGGGGAGCGTGGGTGTCTCGCTGTCCTGCAGAGCCAGTGGGGTGGCTGGCATATCCAGAGCCAGGGTAAAGACGCTGAAGATGTCTGTGGTCATCGTGATGGCTTACATCATCTGCTGGGCTCCGTTCTTCACTGTCCAGCTGTGGTCTGTCTGGGACAGGAATGCTCCTACGGAGAGTGAGTTCCTTCGTATTTCAAATTTTTTCTATACAATAAACCAGACTGTTATTTTTATTAATTTTTTGTAGTCTGAACTTTTACGCGCAAACGCCTCATGCGCTTTTACGCACAAGTAGCTTAATGGATAACACTTATTTGTTCTTCTGTTATTCCAGCTGCGCCCTTCACCATCCTCATGCTGCTGGCCAGCCTGAACAGCTGCGCCAATCCCTGCATTTATCTCCTGTTCAGTGATCAGTTTCCAAAGAATCTGGTGACCTTTCTATGCAGTCGGCGACTTTCCGACCGTAGAGACTCAACTCACGACGAAGCCACGCTTGTCAGCACTCTGTATATGAGCCTCAGAAATGTCTCAGAGTCAAAGTGAACCCCCCCCCCCCCCCCCCCCCCCCCCCCAGGGAACGTGTGGATCCGTGCGCAACGAAAGGTGGGGAAGGTGGTTCACCTGCAGGTGTTTGTGTCAAAAATCGGTTTTCACAAGTAAACAATGTGAGAAAAGTTGCCAGAAAAAGGAGATCTTTCTTTGGACTCTCTGGAGCGTGTCATCAGACTCTATAAAGAGCAAATGGGTCTCAAATCACCAACTCAGCACATCATCTTGGCTGCAGAAAGGCAGGTTTTTTTTTAATTAAATAAAATAGTATTTCTGAATTTCATGGAGCTAAACTTGAATCCAAGAGTATTTCATCTTTTTTGTGCACGTGTTATTTAAAAATATATTTAAAAATATCAAATGGTACAATAAATTACGCTTTGCAGCTGACGTCACAGACGAGTGTGATTCAAAAAGGGTGTTACAGGAATAAAAATTAAAAATATCTGAATAGATTTAACAAAACATTATGACTAAACACAAACCCGCCTTTGCTTCTCTCTTTTCTGTGATCTGAAAATGTACATTTTGTCACCTGTTTTAAGGAGTCAACAGAACAAACGAGGATTAAATGTTCCCAAATTCGTCCCTTTATTAAAACTGGAAAAATTCCCCAAAATAAATCAGGAGCTAAACTGACATCTACAATTTCTGCTGTCGTTTTTCTTCTCTATCATCCAGACTTAGTCTGTGATGTCACACGTTATCTGCAGATCAGCAGAGTGATGAGGAATTTGAATGCAGTCATAGGCTGACAGAAATATTTCACTCGCATGCAAAAGGACATTTGTTTTGCACAGGTTGATTTAAATTTTGTTTCCAGGGTCATTTGGAAGTTAAAGAAAAAAATCTGTATGATTAAATTAGATTGTTAGTTCCTGTAATGATGACCCAATTAAGCAGCAGCATAAGTCCAAACGGACATGTTTTGTTATCTCCACAGAGGCCGGATAAATGTGATTTAATCGGAGCTATATTACCTCAGATCCAACTCGTTAGTGTGGAAAAAAATAAACTGATCAACACAAAGAGCGATTATTCCAAAGAATACAGAAGGAGGGTTCCAAATACTCTTTCCATTTTTGGAGAAGAGATGCAGACGGCGGAGGACGAAAGAAACCTGTAATTTACTTGGAGAATGGAAACTTACCATGGAAGATGATATCAGTATAATGTTATAAAAAGTGTTTGATGAAAAGGGAAGAGGTTGGATTTCTCTGTAGCCACGTTGGAGCGGCACCAGCAGAGACACTGTCTCAAAAAAAAAAATAAAAAAAAAAGAGATGATCATAAAATACATTTGGCATTGTGCTCAGGACTGCTCTGATGTCCCTAGAGGAGATTTTTACTTTGTTTATGTTTATTTATTTGGCAGACGCTTTTATCCAAAGCGACTTACAATTTATAACCTAGGGCATGTTGTGATCTGTGGGGGAAACCGGAGTACCCGGAGGAAACCCACGCATGCATGGGGAGAACACGCAACTCCACGCAGAAAGGCCACAGCTGAGTTTCCAACCTGCGACCTTCGTGCTGCGAGGCAACAGTGCTAACAACTGCGCCACCATGCAACCCAGACTTTGATAGTCTCACTCATGGGGTCTCTGGTTTTTAGCTTTTAAATGTTTAATTAATTGTATCTTATTTATTTTGAGTTTTTAATCTACGTTTTAATATCTGGTCATTTTTGACTGTGTCCAGCACTTTGAACTATTCTGACCGGTGGTAGTAAAGCGCTTTATAAATGAAATGAAATGACAAAACCTCCGATTTTAATACAACCGACGAATGGTGAAAATTCAGATTATTGGTAAATATTCTGAAAGTATTACAGTGTCAGGATTGAACCTGTTACACTTTCTAATGCATTTTATTGTAGATGGATTAAATGAATAATTTCAGCAAAATTATGTCTGTAATGCCAATTTTTGAGAAAACCAGACCACTAGTTGTTCAGGTTTGTTTTTGTATGGTGTCCTCCAGCCCAGTAGGGGGCGCTGCTTGTTTCAACAGTTTAAACAAAAAGAAGACAAGAAGTACAAATTATTTTTCAGCAGGCAAACGACGCAGACACGCAGGCTTTATTTCGTTCTCCTTACTAATGCTTGTCCTGTAGTGGCTAGCATCTGTACGCAGGGTCCCCTGTATCGTTGAAGCCCGGCCTCTGTTTGTGTTTAGAGCTACCTCTTCACTTGAATAAGCTCTTCCGCCCGATCCCATGGCGGCTATCGACCCTTCATAAGAAGCGAGGCTGCTGGAGAAGCTTCAGGATTTATCCAGACTTGCCATCATGGCGAGGGTCAGCATAGAAACCCGACAGAAAGTGGTGAGCCTCCGGCAGCAAGGTCTCTCCCAGGCAAAGATCTCCAAGCAGACGGGCATCTCCAGAGGTGCCGTTCAGGCTCTCCTGCAGAAACACAAAAAAACGGGCCGGGTTGAGGACCGTAAACGCAGCGGCCGGCCGCGGAAGCTGAGCGGAGCGGACGAGCAGCACATCACCTCCCTACGGAGCCAGAAGATGTCCAGCAGCGACATCACATCGGAGCTGGCGGTGAGCCGCGGGACTCTGGTAGACCCCTCCACCGTCCGGAGGAGCCTGGCCAGGAGCGGACTCACCGGAAGACCCGCGGAGATAAAACAACTGAAATGCGATCAAAGCAGAGACGAGATAATCATCCAAGCAGAAACAGATGGTGACAGATTAGAGGAGGAGCTCTTGGCTGATGAGGTGGTGAAAACACTAGACTCTGTGTCTGCAGAGGGACTCAAGGAGGAGTGTGAGGAGAAGACATGTGAAGCATGATGGTTGGAACCTTTTGACCCAGCTGGGATGCATTTATGAAACATGATGATGATTACCTCCAACATGCAGTCCCTCCCAACCACAGATATTTATCTAATGACTGATGCAGCAGAGGTTATGCAGAACATCCTGGAGTCAGTCAGGGCTTACAGATAGAAGAAATGTAAACATGATGCAGAAATATATAAACTTACATATTCATAAGATAAATGTTGCTTTCGTCCAACGAGGTGGAAGAAGCAAACAAATAATTGCTCAAACTCAACGCAGAACTTATGTATTTGCTTCAAAACCTTCATCAGTTATTTTTTGGACAAAGGTCCAGCAAAAGGTCACAATGAAATTAAAGAACAAAAATCATGTTAATTAATGACATTACACGGTCATCACTATTCTTGTTAAGTACTGTAGATCAAGCTATGAAGATGAGTCAGGCTTTTTAGGATTGCTGAAATTCCATAAACACAAATGAGTATAGCTGATTTTGATTCATAATTACACAAAATGTCTCAAAATAAAACACAAGGCTCAAAGGGGTGTGAGGCTGCAGAGATGTAAAGTTGAGATTTCAATTTTTGTTTTTTATTAGTTTGTGTTCTCATTAAATAAGAACACGTTTTTATTTCTGTTCAGCATTTTTAAAACTCGTCTTAAGACCTATTCTTTTAGCTTAGCCTTTAACTGTTTGATACCGGTCTTTTTTATTGGGTTTTGTCTATTTTACATCATGGTGCAATTGTTTTATGATGTCCTTGTTATTGTCCCCTCTGTCCAGCACTTTGGTGAGCTCTTACACCTTGTTTAAAGTGTTCTAAAAGTAAACTGGTATGGTATAACATTTCTTAATTGATTTAAAAAGATTTTTAAAAAATTGGCCATTATTTGATAGAATCACTTCCAGAGATTTGACTCAATGTGAGTAAAACGTTACATAAAGTCAAATTATGTCCTCTCTCATCTTGTGATTGTCTTTGCAGCAGATCCTCTATAATTTACAGTTATGACGGATATCTGCACACACACACGTTCTCATGGATCTGCAGCTGCACACAAAGTTGCCAGATTTTTCTGAACTTCTACATATTTAGAAAATTGTTAACAGCAAATTTTTATGAATTTTTTTTTACTTTTCCAGTTAAATCTATGAAAAACACCGAACACATTTTAATCCCAATATATTCCCATAGATATATCAGCTGGAAACGAGTTAAACAGCAGATGATGGAAAGCATCCCCTATTTTCTTCTTTAATTTCCACAAATTGGACTGAAAACGAACAGAAAAGCAGCCAAAGAGAAGAGGAAAACTCAAAGAACCTCAATATTACATGAGTAAAAAAACTTTATATTTTCATAAGATTTTATTTAGTTAATATTTATATATTCTAACTGCAAAAAAGCCCCTAAATACTAATAAGTTCTCTGCAGGACCCACACAGCACGGTGGTGCATGTTGCATCTTCCCTAACAGTACTGGAGATGCTTTTCTCTCAGTGCACCCCCTCTGCTCCATCCATGTGCATCAGCATCAAACAAAAATGCACTATTATCACTTTGTATGCAGGAACATGAAAGTAACCCAACACACTGCTGGAACAAGATGTGGAGATTAAACATCTCAAGGATGCTTCCATCTGCTTTAAGCACGTCACATCAGGCTTTTACTAAAACACGTTGGGAGAAAAATAAGACACTTTCCTTTCAGAAAACATAGAAGAAGATGCTGGTGAGACAGAAAAAAACAGACCAGTCTCTGTTTGTAACCTGCATATTTATTGTACTCGATGATTCACTAAATGAGACAGAAAAACAAGCAAAGGCCTTCTGAGGAGCCAGGAAACTGATTTCCTCTGGAACATCCGTTTAATCGCTACAGTTGACTTAAAATTTACCAGCATGGATTCCCTGTTAGGTCCACAGAGAATGTCATTAACCGCTGTTTAATATTCTAATATTCTCACAATCTAAAACTAAAGAATTATGACTCAACACTTTGAAATATGATCGTCAAAAACACACGACTCAGATCCCTTTTGAATTCTTTACATTTTAACCAAATTGTTTAAATTGGCAAATAGTTGTGAGAGGATTAAACTTCATTAAGGCTACAGACGGTAAAGGAGCTAATTTAAAAAAGTAGCAGAAAGAGTATAAAAGCATGGGAGTGAGCATTGTTTAGCCTTCTAATCCAGCAAATAGCCCGACCCATCAAGAATCTTTTACGCCACTTGTTTTGTTCTTCTAAGTCAGACCAACGAGGAAAAACACGAGAGCTTGTTTTGAGTCTAACAAGTTAAAACTAAAATGAAAACCACAGAAATCTTTCACAAAAGAAAACCTTTGTTTTGCAAACATCAGCTAGAAACAAGATTGTTTGTCTGAAGCTGAACTCTGTGTTTACCAATGAAATGAATGATTTCTAATCTTCCTCAGTGTCATAAACAGCCTTAGGAAATATATTCTACAACAGTCATATTACACGAGTTGTTTTATAATATACAAACATCTGACAGCACCTTGCTGCAAAAAGACAAATAAAAAATGAAACAATCAGCTGTGGCTCTCACGCGTCTGTTTTTCACCTCTTCTTCTCGGATCGTCCACACGGCCGCGGCGCTGGAGCGTAGGCACCACGTTTCTAACACGCCGTGAGCAGAAGGAATGGAGAGGCTAAACGCTCCTCTGCCTCTCCATCATAATTAGCTGTGACCTTTTTATACAACAGTCTGCTCCCGAGGCGCAGACGTTCATCAGATCCTGGCTAGTGTGAGCAGAGCTAATGCACTTTTCCTGAAGCCTATCACCAAAAACACAGATTAACATCAGTTTGTTTTTGTCTGTTTAGATCAAAACTAACCAGGTGATAAGGAAACACTCTCTCCACACGCCAGTAGTTGCGTCAAATAAAATTCCAAACCTCTCGCGTACAAAAACACATTTAATTGCACAGTTCTGATCTGATACCATGTCTGACACAAAGGATCTGAACACCCGCTGAGATTACAGGGAGTTTACTAATTAAAGCGGCTGACACGAATACTTCTCCATCAGCTGCATGCAGTCAGCCTCTGCAGTGGAGGACAGGAGGCTACGAAGCCCAGACCTGGTGTGTTAGTGTGAACCTGCAGCAAAAACATGTCGACAAGTAGCTGCATGCTGGGATGATAAACACATGTTCACAGTCCGTTCAACCAGACGTCCGTTTTTCACTGGAAGAAAAAGCCGTCAAGTTTAAAGGACTGATTAAAGCAGTCGTCACATAAACCTTCAGACAGTGCCACTTAAAGGCCCCGTGACCTTTCCACTAACGTGATGGATTTACTGCCAGAGGTGACAGCATTTGTGATGCATCGATGTCTAGAGAGTAAAGTATTTGCAGCCAGACGCTGACAGGAGATCCAGGCTCGGGGAAAGCTTTGGAGAGCTCTTTTGTGTGAGTTTCTTTTTTTTTCTTCTTCTTCTTTTTCTTTTAATCGTTGTCTCAGACGTCACAGACAGAAGAGGCGAGAACCCTCTCTGCCGTCGTCGCCCTCCCCCTGTGGGATTCGGGGCAGCATGGCTGAACGGGTCAGACCCCAAAAGCGAGGTGGAGACAAGTCCTTCTTGGTGGCTGTGAACTTCCAGCCCATGTGAGAGCCACAGGTTCTGCACTGAGCGATCGTCCAGGCGTACCTGAGAGGAAAGCCAAGATCTGTTCAGCATCATTTAAAACAATCAGTCATTTCTTTCTGTTTTTCTGTCAGAAAAGTCAGAAATCTTTTTCGTTGGTTGTTGAAATTTGTGGAAAATAATGTAAAAAACATAAATATTAAATAGAACAATATGAGAATAGCAAAAATACAACTGGTACTTTTAGTGTTGCGGAAATTTACAGAAGAGGATTAGGGCCACTGGAAAAAATAAAAAGAACTCCAACTTCTATCTCAGAATTCCGACATTAATCTCAGAACACCGAATTCAATCTCAGAACTCAGAAATTAATCTCAGAACTCAGAAATTAATCTCAGAACTCCGACTTCAATCTCAGAACTCCGACTTCAATCTCAGAACTCCGACTTCAATCTCAGAACTCCGACTTCAATCTCAGAACTCCGACTTCAATCTCAGAACTCCGACTTCAATCTAAGAATTAATAAAGTTAGAGTTCTAAGATTAAAGTTAAAATTCTCTCTCTTTTCTTTTCAGTGGCCCTAATCCTCTTCCGTACTACATTCATTAATATCGCTTTCCTCGTTGAAACAAATTATAAATGAGGAGAGGTTACCCTGGAAACCAGCTGTGCAGCGTGGAGGGCCTGCCGACCAGGTTTAGGTTGTTGGCTTTGTACACAGTCAGAGTTTCGTGGACGTAACCGTGAGGGTTCACATATGCAGCCATGGGGCCGTACAGAGACAAGCTGAGGAGAGAGAGAAAGTGTCTTTAGAGCCAAATCTGACTTCAGCAAAACATCAAACATGAGCCCGATGCTTTAAAACAGAACGAGTGGGCGAGCTAGCACGTCAAGATCAAGACATGGAGGACGTAAGAAGACCTACAAAACTATTCAAATGTAAAAATACAGTTTTAACAGTGAGTTCAAAAACGTGTAGCTATACAGGCAGGAAGTGTTTAAATAACACTACATTTAAATTACCTGAGGGCTCAAATACAAACTCTAAAAGAGCATCAACAGAACTCTGACACAAATATCTAATATTATCTTGTTGACAAAAAAAGTGTATTTTTATCTCTTTATTTAATAAACTTAATCTTCACAGATTATTTTGGTATGTTTTGTGTCATTTAAAATATAATTATGCAAAAACTCTAGTAAAATAAACCTTTTCTGCACTTTAGTGTCTTTCCCTGTTTGGTTTTTGCACCAAATGTCAAAACAAACTGAATGTGTGTGACGATGCATTTGTGTTTTTGTGAACGTTTAATTGAAAACCCCTTAGCTACTCAAAGAGCATCATTGCTTAGAGGAAATCTGTCTCAGAAATCATTTTACTCCAATAATCACACATTCACTCAGATTATCTGGAAGGCAAAAACACAATGTAGTCCCAAACATCCAGCCAGGCTCTGGGTAATTTCCCCAGCCATCAGAGCTTTGTGTGTCAGCGCTGAACAAAGACATGACGGATCACGGACGGGGACAAAAAGACATTATATAACAGCGACTGTGTTTAAGCATATTTACTTGTGATGTAGGGACCGAATTCACACGACCCTCCAACTACTCCCAACTTTAATGTGTCTGTAATGACGACCATTATAAACCAAAGCAGTCCTACGTCCTCCTCTAACCAAGTCCATTTTTGTAAATGAGCCTGTTGCTAAATATTCTCTAATGTTACATTATAAAGCAGTGCTACATCATTTACCATTACACTGATGTATTGCAGGCCTTGTAGCACCAACAGCAGCTCTGATACATTTTTTAAACTTGATGCAACCCAGCTGCAGAAAAAAAAGGATCATATATTAAACCTTATCCCTAAATAAGCTGATGTGACCACATCTGTCAGTGATAATGTTATTAAATATACTCAGATTGGGCAGAAACACTCTTTCTTTTGTTTGTTTTCCTGTGCTTATCTGGGTTCGGGGGTAGCATTTCAATTATGACATCCCAGACAACCCTCTTCCCAACCACCTCCACCAGCTCCGGCAGGACCTCGAGGCTTTCCCGGGCCAGATTGGAGATGTAATTGCTCCAACGTGTCCTGGGTTGACCCGGGGGCTTCCTGCTGGCAGGACACACCCGAGACACCACCCCAGGAAGGCGTCCAGGCGGCATTCTGACAAGATACCCAAACCACCTCAGCTGGCTCCTCTATCACTACGGCTGAGACCGGCCACCCTCCAGCGGAAACTAATTGGAGGATGGCTGCTTATACTGAGCCAGGATTCTCTGGAGGTTTCTTCCTGTTAAAAGGGAGTTTTCCTCTCCACTGTCGCTGCATGCTTGCTTAGTATGAGGATTGCTGTATAGTCACTGACACTAGTCAGTGACTTGATGCAATTTGCTGGGTTCCTTATACAGGAAACATTATTTCTGATTGGCTTTATGAACTGTGAATTGGAATGTTTATTATGTGAAGTGCCTTGAGACGACTCTTGTCGTGATTTGGCGCTATATAAATAAACTTGAATTGAATTAATTTCTGTCGTTTGTATCCACGATCTTGTCCTTTCGGTCATTACCCAAAGCTCATGACCACAGGCGGTGGAGGAGTTTGAGCGCCCTAATGATCCCAGGAGATATGTTGCCTGCGTCACTTTGTGCCTCTGGTAGGGTCCCACTTGACCGATTGGTCCTAGGTGAAGAGGAAGACAAAAGGCCCTCACACACTAGCATCAGCTCCACTCTGCCTGGACCGTGTTGCTTTTTCAGCCCTCCTCTCAAAGAGGTCTGCCTGGAACCGAACAGGCACACCACACCTGCTGCTGACTGATTGGCTGGCTCAAAAGCACGCCTACCATTAGTGGTACCGCCCACGTGCTTGGAGATCCAGTCATGACAGACCACAAACCGTTCATGTGCTCAATCATGTCCGCATTCCTAAGGCAGTGTGGAACGAACGCGGCCGGGCTGGGGCAGAGCGGATGCTAGTGTGTAAGTGGCAAAAAGCGGTTCAGAGGACTCTTCATGACTGTAAAACCAAAGAGCCAGAGCACCCAGCCTGGAGGGTTACCAGGATCCTGCCCTGGAGCCAGGCGTCGGGGTTGGGGACTATGAGCGAGCACCTGGTGGCCGGGCTTTCCCCCATGGTGCCCAACCTGAACCGGACATAAGCTCATCCAACTGTGGACCCACCACCAGCAGGAGGAGCATGAAGGGTGTGGTGCATTGAGGGCCAAGGGGGCAAACCAAAGCAGTAGCTTTGTTGGTTCGATCCCCGGACAAAATCACTCATAACACACAAAGACACTATGAGTACAAATAAACCATAAAGTTTAAAGGAAAACATTTTTTTAAATCGTTAACAAAAAAAACAAAAAAACAAGTTCTTACCTAAAGATTTCATTTTTTGTAGTGATTTCTGTGTCCTGGCACTGCTTACAGCACAGCGACGTGCACTGAGGAGATGAAGTGTAAAAAATGTCAGATATTTTTATCGTCAAATCAAAACAGTGACCTCATCGCAGACGGCAAAAACGCACCCTAAACAGAAACATACCTGAACTAGTTTCCTGAAGGTTTGATTAAATATCAGCGTGAGAAGAACATTTAAGAGGCTGGAAAAGGTCTGACATGAGTGTTTACACCTGAACCGCTAACCAATTAAAACACACGATCACCCCGAGACACGCTGGACCTGAAGCAGGGAGACAGAGAGCAGACGGCTTTGCTCTGTTTGGATTAAAGCGCGGCGTTTAACAGGAATGATCTTCAAAAAGCTTCTTCAACCCTCGGCTCGCACAGACAAACGCCAGCTACTAAAACTCATTTTTACCATAAACAGAATCAAACATCTTTGTTTATGTTATATGAATAAATCCGGAACCACTGCAGCGGTGACTCGTGTGTGTGTGTGTGTTCTGGTTAAACACGCCAAACAACATCAGAGGGAAAGAACAGACACTGCGGTCCAGGTAGGAGAGCTGGATCTCTTCACGACACCAGGGGAATGACTGGGTTTAATGGAGACAGAGAGATTATGGGACATGCTGGTTTATAATTGTTAAATACCCGGTCCATGATGTCCAGTTCACAGCGAAGTCTTTGAATGGCGCTGCCGATCTTCAGCAGCTGGAGCCGCAGGGCATCGTCGATGGGCAGACAGGCGGCCACCCGGTAGGAGAAGTCTGACAGAAACCAGGCAGAAGGAGGGATGGAATACAGAGGGAAGAGAAGGAGACAGACGTGCACGTGTACATGCACGAGTCTTCTGTCGTTAACCCAACAGAGACTGACCTACAGCGTTGGTCGGTAGCGAGTCGTCCTTCAGATTCTCGTCCCACTCGTGGAGCTGTTTCTTCACTCTGTTCATGAGAGACTCCTGCCAGGTGTGAAGCACAACACGTTTACAAAAACCTCCAAACACGGAAGGCATTCATGCTCGTGGACTGCAGGTGCTCACAGAGTCATACAGCGTGTACACCCAGGGCGGCCACGGGGTCAGGCTGGCACAGTGAAACTTCCTCTGGGAAAACAAACAAACAAACAAACGAACACGTAAAACGGGAGCGAATTTTAAATGTTCAACCAAAACATTCGCTGGAGTTTCTCAGAACTAGGTTTGCACACGTGGACGTCACACCAACATGGAACTATTTCCTTCAGCGTAAATCATCAGGATGGCACATTAATGGGTTTCTCAAAAGTCTCCAGGAAGAAGAAATGTTTCCTGCTGAGGATCAGGAGGAGTCTACAGGTTTGACAGTTAAGAGCCCATAAAGGGGATAACCAAAAGAAAATGATTTTAATCTGCTTTAAACTAGATGTTTTAGGTGTCGGACCTGTCGGTACGTACTCCACCAGCACCGAGTCTGCTTGCAGCTCTGAGCTCTGGGTTTGGAGGACGGGTGCATGAGGAGCCTGGACTGGGTCGGCAGCAGCACGGCGGAGAGCGGGTCGGGGAGGATCCATTCAGGAAGGATCTGCACTTTGGCCTGTCTGATGCTGAAGCACACAAAACACGAACGACGAACAACAGAAATAAACAAAAAGCAAGCTGAGCGGACGTTGGAAAGGGTGTGAAAAGATGTTTGAATTTAAGAAGATGCTACGTGTAGCAATGAGCAGGTGGGACATAAACACTTCATGTGAAAACAGTTTGCAAATAACATTTTTGGCCAATTTCAGACTGATGTACTCTAAAATAGTTTGTGTGATAAAGAAAATTAAGAATTAAAAATTCCAGTTAGGTAAGCGATGCTCTCTATGCATGATAAATAAACAGGAAGTCAATGAGATTAGGATAATCAGTTTATGAGCATTACTAGAGAAAGATGGACATGTGCTTAGCTCAAAGATTTCCTGGTGGGAGGAGGATGATCTATAGTGTCACCACAGCTATGATGTCGGTAGGAAACCCTGATGCAGCATTACTTTCTACAGTTTTCCTCTGACAGCCTTTCATTTAACTAAATGGACTACAAAAAATCTGTTTTAAAATGGTTGTGTGAGGGCGTGAGCAGCAAACGTTAATAAATCCACACAGATGAGTAGCAGCGGCTTAAAATGAGCAAAGTCAAAAGCAGGAGTGTGCTTTTTAACAGGTTAAAAGGCTGGAAATCAAAAAAATTCACAACCGACCAGGCTCTTGCTTCACACATTTTGTCACAAACTGTAGCTAATTTCATTTTGGACAATTCACTAATGCCCCAGTAACAAGAGTTTAATGTTAATAAAAATAATTTTACTGACCGACTCCTCATATTTGTGTGATTGGAGGACCTACGTTACCACTGACCGTAAACGCCACCAGCTGAAACACAGACTGCTTTTAGATAATGACACTTTTAATGAATCACATTTGCTTCAAGTAAATCTGCAGCGCTCTTTTCTTTTAACTGGATGTTTCTGTTTGTTAGGCCACCAAAACAAAGCAGAATTAAAATGGATCATTCTTTAAACAGTTGGTGGGCATCTCATTTCACCGGGAGGCTGGATAAAGAGTTAGTCTGCCCTCTAGCTGTAAAACTCAGTCATTAAAATCCCAAATTCATTTGTATTATTTATAGTAACAGAATTATTGTTGTTGTATATAGAATAATTAAAAAGCACATAAAAATATTTTAAGGATGCACCTAAAATTTCACCGATACATAAAATTTTACCAATGCAGTGGCCTGAAAGTGGCTTCACTGTAACTTGTCATTGCTGTTCACCTAATATTTTAGTTTTGTGGTCATTTCTATTAATATATTTATTTTTTATCTACCTCCAGTCTTTTTCCTGTTGAAAACAGAGAGGAAAATAAAACCTGTATTCCAATATATTGCTTTATTTTTTGTGTGGTAGAAATATTCGTATCGGTAATCGGTATCAGCGAGTACTCCGATCCAAGTATCGGTATCGTATCGATTTGGAAACAAGTGGTATCGGCGCATCCCTAAATATTTATAAATGATTTAATTTATTCTGTGAGATTTTGGATCTCAGTTTCTGGACAAGCAGAATATTGAACTCCCTGAATTAGAGAAAAGGTTCCAACACTTGAGCTAATCTGGATCAGAGTCCTTGTCAGACACACCTGAGTGGACTGGACCACACAAAAGCAACATCAAGAACCTGGTCTGAGATGTACTAAATGAGTCATTTTAGGAGGAGAGGAGACCGTTTATTCCTTGAATTATGAGGCGTTTGGGTTTTAGTCCTTACCCGTCAGCTTGAGTTCTTATCTCATGGACCTTAAATCTCTGCCTCCCCACAGCCTTTACTTTGACCGTTTCAATGCCATACTCCTGCTCCTCTCGGTACGCGTAAATTTCAGCCGTTGTTCCAAACTCTGCCTCTGGCTCACCTGCATCACTGTCAACACCAAAGTTTGCATTGTTACATAGACCAGTGCACCTAAAAAGCATATTTACAAATGCAAAGCAGAAGTAACTTGTGCTCTATGTAAACTATTTTAAAGCAAGATGTGTAAATTAGCGGCGATCGTTCCAACAAAGAGATACTTTCTCTGTGATGACCACCAAGAAGAAAAGAGAGAGGGTTCCATCTGTGCAGACCTGTGTGCGAGCACAGCGAAGGTCCTGTCTTTCTGGATCACACTCCTCATCATGCTGACCTCCTGCGGCCTGAAGAGCTGCAGAGGTAACGTCTGGCCTGGCACCAGCATCACAGCTGTGTGAGGCAGCACAGGGATGGTCTGGCAGCTGTCGTCATCGTGGACTGTTCGACCATGGAACTCCTCCATGTCTGAGCCCAAGTACTGTCATCAAGAGTAAACACAGCAAAACCATCAAAGAAGACAGTGGAGGACCCACGTGGACGGAAATGAGGCAGTAGAGATGATTAGATGGAAGGGGGGGCTGGATGCTTACAGCATGAGATGTAGGAAGACTTGGGTCAAAGGTGATTATGTTGGGCTTTTCCGCGTCGTCACTGTCTAGGGCCTCAGTCTCCATATCATCTTCCTCCTCCTCTTCTTCATTCTCTGTCACAGCAAGTTTTTGAAGACACGATGAGGCTAGCTAACTCTCGTTCAACTCTAACCAAACCTTAACTGTATTTTTATCTAACTTAAACGTCACAGCCATTGATGTATGTTTTTTTTTAAAGAAATCGAAAGCAACTATAAATTCCTGGCGTTGCCTGACATGGACAGTGGCGTGTGTTGGTGTTAGCATGTGGAGGAGAAAACCTCCCGCTCACACAGACTTCAGCGTACGTGAGCAGGATTCTTACCAGGTAAAAGCTGGAGCTGGTTCCCCATGTTGTCGTTAATGTTGTCTTCACCTCCACCCCTCTCGTCTGCCATATTGTTTACAATGCCAACTCTTCTTCTCCAGTCTTCTGTACCCAGCGCTTAAAATTCAAACCAGCGCGCCCCCTAGTGGAATCGCGCCAACGCAACACTGGGCCGCTGGAAAATCTAGCGTGATAAAAAAAAAATCCTAAAACGTTTAATAGTTTAAAAAAAAAACTGTAAACATTGTAGAACCGAATTAGATCAGGCTCAGCCTCTAATAAAGTTCTGAGGGAAAAATGCAACAAATTGTTCAATAGCTTATTGCAATTCACCAATCTTTTTTTTTTTACCTTTTCAAGTGCTGCTGTAGCAAGTGAATTATCACAATTTGGGATGTGGTCTCTTAGTTTTCTAGATTTGGAATATTTAAGTGCCAGTTAACCAGCAAACTTACCCTTTTGGACAATTCTAGAACAATTGGAGAAGCTTCAAAACCATATGACTAAGAATTTTCATTTTCAAGGCAGATTTCTGGCAAGAGAAATATAAAAATGGCTCATCTATAAATTAGCTTGTGCTTGGAGAAAATAAAAACCAGACTTAATTGAATTCTTGTAATTATAATTTCAAAACCAATCGCTTTCTATGCTGACTTGCCAATGAAATGACAAATACGATTCATGGAAACTTAAGTGTTCGTTTATTGTTCAGTACACCACACAACAGTTGTAAACAAGATGTATTATGGTCCATGAACAAGGTAGCTGCTCATTTGATGCCATTCCAACATCTTTGCCATCTTCCAGCGACAAATCCAGTCATCCTTGATGGTAGGTTCTCATTTGAAGTCAGGATCTAATTTTCTATCACCAGCTGCAGAGGCTTTAAGTGAACCACTTCAGGTACCGGGTCAGTCTGGGAAGGCTTAGATGGGATCACAGCTGGCAGGGATGAGGGCTTACTTTGACCTCTGCCTCATCTTTCTCCTTTTACGCTTCAGCCTATTAGGAGTAAAAGAGCAGTTTTGAGACATTCAGCTCATATCTGGACATTAACCTCCACTCTTCACATTTTAATCTCTTTATTACAAATCAAATAAAACTTATCAAGCGATTTATTGAAACCAAGAATGTTAAGGTAGGTACCATGAGTCTAGTGCAGAATTTATGTGTACGAGACAAACATGCCTTTTCACATTAATTTGTTTATATGGGACAAATGTATTGGACTGAAAATGTTCTTAATGACTAGATAACAGTGTACATGATTAAGAACTAGTTCATTTGCAAAAGCAGCTTGACTCCTTGTGTTGTCCGATTGTGCCTTAACTAAATCCAATTTAATCTCAACTTGAGCAAGTTTCCACGTTTTAAAAAAACGTGTGTTAATTGCTTACCTGCGCATACGCTTCTTCCTCCACTGAAGATGAAACAAATACATATTAGTTCAAGTGTATGAAAAAACATAATGTCTAAATCACTAAACAAAAACTATAGCAACAGATATGCAGCCAAACAGGAATACCACCAGCGTGCGCTAATGCAGGCCTTTAATGATCAACTGTAACAGTGAAGCAGCTCAATACACATGAGGGGTGGCTGGTAAAATGTGGTTAAGAGCAAAAATATGCCAAGGTTTAAAAACAGAACCCCCAAAAACAAACACGTGCTGCAGCAAAGCGTGGTTAAAAGCAAGAGAAGCTACTGAGATCTTAGCTAGCTAGCTACAGGGTGAGTTGCTAGCAGGAAATAAAGCTTTAATATACAGCTACTGCCTCTTTCTCCTACCTTAGCTCTCATCGTGTGGAGAGGTTTCTGTAAAAACAACAAAAAGAAGTTATTAGAGACTGTCGATGGTTTGTGATTTTCCAGGATTGGTTTGGATTTTGTTTGCGACGAGATGTTGCTACATACCTCAAAGCGAGAAGAGCAACGGAAAGAGGATGCGACGATGAAAAAACGCGGGTTTTATAAAGTTTTAAACGTCATATTCAAGCGTCTTTCAGTGCGTCGGGAAATGTAGTCCAAAGACGAACAACAACCAATCAATCAAAATGAACGTTCTGGCGACTTTTTAATATTTCAGTATGTTTGTTTAAGTCATGTCGCAACAATAAAATATTTTTAATAGACCCCAGTCATTTTGTTCAAATCAGTGTTGGCAGGCCTAATAATCCATAATATCATCACTCCTCAATTTCTGAGTTTCCACAATGATGTGATGCATTTTCTCATAGTCATAGGCTGATATAAAACATGACGCATCTTTTAAAAGACGTTTTGTACAATACCACTAAATCACCACGATGACAATTATCAGGTCGAGGATTTGTTACAATTTCAACACAAGTTTCCCCAAAGGTCTATGTGATAAATGCACATTTCCAGATTCTGAAAAAATCAGTCTTGTATATTTCAATTTTATTCATTTACAAAAAATAAATAGCTTTTCCACAGCCAAAAGTTTTTTTTCTATTTTCGTAATTAACATTGTTTTTTTACATAGCAAAAAACCCAATAAATAAATACTAAAAGCCTTTGTGTCAGTAACAGATATCCGTCTAACCCTTTATTTATCAATTTAATGTACTGAAATGTCATGTTTTGGTGGACTTAAAAATACTACAATTTATTAGGGATGTAAGAACCTATCGATATGGCAATATATCGTAATAATTTTCCTGCGACATTATATCGATATTCAAAAGCAGTGTGTCGAATTTTTGGAAGAATTTGCATGCAAACATTTGAGTATTTTCTTTTTGGGGGGGGGGGGGGGGGTGTGCAAGTCAGACACCGACCGCTAGGTGGCAGGAGTGTGCAGTGGGTTTTGTTTCCACCATTGAAATGTAAATCCCTCTATGATGGTTCAGATACCTCATATTAAACATGTTAATTATCATTTTCGACTGTTTATTTAAATTTCCTATAATAAATTCAGCCTAAATAATCGCTAATATCATCTGGCTGAATGTATCACATGTATTGTATTGCCAGAATTTCACCAATACACATCCCTACAATTTATGTAAAAAGCTAATTGGAATATTTTACCCGCCAATGTTCAGAAAAAGTTCAAATATAGAGTTGGTAGTTATAATGTGAGAGGAAGAAGCTGCCTAGATTTTGGTATTTCTGTGGTTGAGGTTAAATTATGGAATAGCCTGGACAAGAATCAAAATGATTAAAAATTACTACATGTATTAGAAGTATGAAATTAATGGTATTCAGGAATTATGCAAACATAATTTAGGACAGCGTCTGTGAAGTGATTGGGTGGGCTGAATTATTGTTTTATTGAAAAAGGGGACAGAAAATATTTAAAAAAATCTCTGCTCCATGTCATTCTTTTGTTTGGTATTGTTTGTACATACTGTCTGTTTTCTTTGTTTGTTTGTTTTTCTGAATGAGAAAAAAAGTAAGTTAAGTGGTTGTGGCCTAGTCATAGGAGTGTCCATCCTGGGACTCGAGGATCAGGACTCAAATCCAGTCAAGTCACACCAAAGATTTCAAAAATGGAACCCAATGCTCCATAGCTTGACACTCTGGCTTAAGGGGTTAGATTGGGGGCTTGAGCACAGCTGAAGCTCACTGCTCCCCATGGGGGTCAAATGCAAACATGCAATTTCACCAGTGAGTGATGACTAATGGGACTTTAATGATTCATTAGACACCAGACACAGTGCTGTGATGTATCTGCTCACTGTCAAAATCAATATTTTAAGCCTTTAATAGCAGAAGAGTTTTATTGGAAGCAAAATTTTAAGTGTTGCCGTCAGAATAAACAAAATTAGCTGACAAAGCAAGCAGTAAAACCCAAGTAATTTTCACCAAAATGAAAAGAAACCCATGAAAGGGTATGAAAACCTTTTTTTATTTCCTCAGATGTAAAGTTCCATTTTTAAAATAGTTGGGCTAGAAAGCACCAACTTGCTCTCGCCAACATTTTTGTGGACTAACATGATCCAACACCATGTCAGACCTCAAAATGAAACAGACATGAACTGGCCTACAACACTCCTCAAGAAATGTCCCCATAACATTTTGTCTCCATCATTCATAAGACTAATGCAAGTTCCAGGTCTGATAGAAAAGTTTATTAACTGATGCACAAAGTGTAATTTCAACCTTCATAACAAAAAGAAATGGCAGTCGATGTAGCGGTTTGTTCCCTAAAATCAGACAGATTTTTACCTTTTTGTGTATTTAAAAAAATATTCTCTTGTTCAGACTGCATAAAATCTAATGTGGTTTAAACCATTGCAGTTTCAACCTTAAATGTCATTAACTTTTCCTAAAATCCCAAGAAAACTAATTAAAAATGGTTTGGATAACGATAAGGTTTTTTTGGTTGCATAAATTCATGAAGAAAACAAAATAATAAATTAACCCTTTACTGCATCATCACATCAAAAATGTTTTTAATGCAGTGTAAAATGAAATCGTCGTCTAATCCTGGAAAAACACGTTGGGATAAAACATCCAAAACAATGAAATGATTTCTCACACAAAAGAAAAATCTGATGGGTCTCACAAACCAAAGCTTTAAACTACCAGGATCCACAACTGTCTCCATAAAGTCATAGAATTTAAAGACCTTCATCAATGGTTACAGGAACCCAAATCTTTTCTTTCAAACAAATCAATAATAAGCTATGCAAGCTGCCAATATATTTTTCTGAAAAATAAAAATATAAATAAATAAATAAAAAAAATAAAAACTACAAATTACCAAAACCTTTTTAAAAATACTGTAGCAAATTCTGATAAGAAAGCCCAACATTTACAGTGGAACTTTATATAAATGCAGTAAAGGGTTAACGTCAGTGTAAAATAGCCAAATAAATTGATGCTGATGTTTTTATAAATTAATTTTATCAGTCTGTCAACTCCAATCTATGTCATGTAGAGACTGAGAGAGTCCAGGGGGATCTGGTCATAGTTTCTTGTCTTTGGGGTCTTGAATGTGTGAAAGGTTTCATTTTGCTGCCTCCATCTCTTCAGTCGGCTGTCCAGCTGCATTTTCTGCTGTTTTTGAAGCCTAAAAGGTGGGAAAAGGGTTCAAATTAAGCAAGTATGACACAAATCAGAAGGAAGTAAATTACAGATTGCTGTGGTATAGCTTAGGTTGTGTGCCATTTCGTTGATGAAATACTTTTGTTTATTTGCCAATACCGATAAACTGGCATTAATGCTTCTAAAAATCAGCACATTTTGTATGGAATGACAATTATTAAAGCAGAATTTACATTACAGGTGCTGGCCAGTAAATTAGAATATCATCAAAAGGTTGAAAATATTTCAGTAATTCCATTCAAAACGTGAAACTTGTACATTATATTCATGCAATGCACACAGACCAATGTATTTCCAATGTTCATTACATTTAAATTTGATATTCATAAGTGACAACTAATGAAAACTCCAAATTTGGTATCTCAAAAAATTAGAATATTCTGAAAAGGCTGAATATAGAAGACACCTGCTGCCACTCTAATCAGCTGATTTACTCAAAACACCTGCAAAGGCCTTTAAAAGGTCCCTCAGTCTTGTTTTGAAGGCACCACAATCATGGGGAAGACTTCTGACTTAACAGCTGTCCAAAAGACAATCATTGACACCTTGCACAAGGAGGGCAAGACACAAAAGGTGATTGCTAAAGAAGCTGGCTGTTCGCAGAGCTCTGTGTCCAAGCACATTAACAGACAGGCGAAGGGACGGAAAAAATGTGGTAGAAAAAAGTGTACAAGCTCTAGGGATAACCGCACCCTGCAGAGAATTGTGACGACAAACCCATTCAAAAATGTGGGGGGGATCCACAAAGAGTGGACTGCAGCTGGAGTCAGCGCTTCAAGAACCACCACGAGGAGACTCATGAAAGACATGGGATTCAGGTGTCGCATTCCGTGTGTCAAGCCACTCTTGAACAAGAAACAGCGCAAGAAGCGTCTCGCCTGGGCCAAGGACAAAAAGGACTGGACTGATGCTGAGTGGTCCAAAGTTATGTTTTCTGATGAAAGCAAGTTCTGCATTTCCTTTGGAAATCAAGGACCCAGAGTCTGGAGGAAGAGCGGAGAAGCACAGAATCCACGTTGCATGAGGTCCAGTGTAAAGTTTCCACCGTCAGTGATGGTGTGGGGTGCCATGTCATCTGCCGGTGTTGGCCCACTCTGTTTCCTGAGGTCCAGGGTCAATGCAACCGTCTACCAGGAAGTTTTAGAGCACTTCATGCTTCCTGCTGCTGACCAACTTTATGGGGATGCAGACTTCACCTTTCAACAGGACTTGGCACCTGCACACAGTGCCAAAACCACCAGCACCTGGTTCAAGGACCATGGTATCCCTGTCCTTGATTGGCCAGCAAACTCGCCTGACCTTAACCCCATAGAAAATCTATGGGGTATTGTGAAGCGGAGGATGCAATACGCTAGACCCAACAATGCAGAGGAGCTGAAGACGACTATCAGAGCAACCTGGGCTCTCATAACACCTGAGCAGTGCCACAGACTGATCGAGTCCATGCCACGCCGCATTACTGCAGTTATTGAGGCAAAAGGAGCCCCGACTAAGTATTGAGTGCTATACATGCACATTCTTTTCATGTTCATTCTTTTCAGTTGGCCAACATTAGAGAAACAAACATTTTTTCATTGGCCTTTAGAATATTCTAATTTTCTGAGATACCAGATTTGATGTTTTCATTGGTTGTCACCTATAAATATCAAATTTAAATGTAATGAACATTGGAAATACATTGGTCTGTGTGCATTGCATGAATATAATGTACAAGTTTCACGTTTTGAATGGAATTACTGAAATATTTTCAACCTTTTGATGATATTCTAATTTACTGGCCAGCACCTGTATGTACACACACCACACATTTACGCTTCGGAGATCACATGACTAAACAAATACCCCCCCCCCCCCCCCCCCCCCGAAACAGATAAACAAATGGAAACAAGATGGACAAAATATTGGTTGTCAATATCCGGCCCAATTTTATTTATCAGAGATCCTGATTTGTTAAAAAATGAACAACCGCGACACCGATATTGATGCCGATATATTATGCATCCCTAAATAAGACCATAAAAGCAATGACTAACAAATCTGATCAGAAAATGGAAAAGATGGGAGACCGGAAAAAAAAACTAATCAGCAGATGGGACAAGCGGGACTAGATGAGAAAAGAACCAATTAGAGTCCGGAGCCAGGCGTTGTTTGACAACGCTAGCGGTAACCAGACATCATATATCGATGTCTATGCTGGTAACTGTTAAAAGGAGAAAATGTCGGCGGCTGGGGAAAATAAAGCATTAAATATGACCATCTGAGAAGTATTTGCTTGGTGAGTACACATCTGAGGATTCCCCTAGTTTCAAACGTGTTACAGTGTTGAGCCTGGACCACACTGAGTGATTTTCAGCTGTCCTAAAAAAAAATCCTTTGTCGTGAACAAAATTGTGTCAAAAAACAGTGAACCTGAGGGCGATTTGCAAGTCTGTGGCCATATAGTGAGACCGGCTCTGCGACAGCTTTTTGAGCACCCTCACGACCTAACTCAGCCTCCAACGGTCTACAAGCACCGCTTGAAAACCTACGGCTCCTGTCTACAGCCGGCCAATGAAAATACATCTTTGGGACGCCAAAGCAGCAAGACTCCGCCTCTGAGTTTAAAATGCATATTATAAATAAAACACAAAAACAGGATATCCCTTTGCTGTTGGTGGAAATCACATATTAGACCCGATAAGGATGGGTTCAGTAGTTTTGTTGCTGAGGGACAGAGGAAGACTGTGCGAGTGAGTGGGTGTGAAAAAGGAGTGATGAGATGTCATGGAGCGGAGTAAACAGACAGAAATTGACGGCAAAACTTTCGATAATGGAGCAATCTGTGACAAATAGATTATTTCTCTGTAGTTTAGTGTTTATTTTTGATGGAGAATTAGCTGCTCAGCTGGATGATGGAAAACAGACTTGCAGTCAGAGGATAAAGCAAGGGTGTCGAAAATGACGTAGCGGATCAATCCTTCCTCTTTGAAGAAGAGCCGACACTAAAAATAAAAGTCAGCAGTGGCATTTTTTTCTCTTTTCAGCATTGTTGGTTTGGTTAGCGGTCCGCTTTTATTGACGTACGCTTTTGGGGTGTGTGCTCGTGACGAAACGGGTCCTGCTGAAGCGAGACACTGTGCATTCTGTCTCACTGAAATCTTTCGCCGTACAGCGTGCCACCTTTCTGGAGTTCTCACAGTGTTACATGAGCAGTCCCAGACAAATGCACAGTGTGGTCCTGGCAGTAGGGGAGAGCGTTGATGGTGGGGTCAGGCGTAGGTCACTGCTGGCGCTGAACCGAACCAAGCTCACGGAGCGGCATGTCTGGTTGTTTACTAGTTTTTCCTTTCACGGTGCTGCTACAGCCGATACGATCAGTGTTCTAGCTGGTTTTTGTGAGGAGAAACGTTCCGGTGTCCCACCTTGAACAATTAGGCTAATAAATACACCTGAAAACAATTCTTACCTTTAGTTTACCTCCTCGTATTATTTAAGTAACACCTTTTTGATGTTATACAAGTTCCTGTCATGTTTACAAATATTACTGCACATTATGCCGTTTTTGTAAATTTTATTAATATTGAGGCACAATTTCCAACAGTCAGTGTTCACTTTGGTATTTTTCAATAATTGTTTTTATTAAAACAATTATAGTTTTATTGATCCATAGTGTGAAATTTGAACTTTTCATATTTCTTTACAGTTTCAAGTGGGTGTAGTTAACATTTCCTGTACACAAGTTCAAAAGATCAGAAACAAAATACATATATTTTAGTAGACTAAAATTGCTTTTTATTTACTAAAATAAGACTACAATTAAATTTAAATGGTCAAATTAACAGTGTGTGTGTGTGTATATATATGCTTACCTTCTTTTTCTTCTTCTTCTGCGTTTTACGGCTTGCGGAGCTCTGTAGTAAAGCCTAGCAGAGACGGAAGATGTTTCAAACAAACTGCTTTTCTGTAAGTGAAACTTTTCTCCCAGGACAATAAAGTTACACACCTTTAGTTCTGGATCCTGAACTTCATGCTCCGACTTGTAGAAATCTGGATCGAAGAGACCGTTGGTGATTCTATGAGGCCCGTTGGCCATCAGCAGCACTGTGAACTTAAACTGTGCAACAAACTCCCCTGAAAACATTGAAAGAATTATGAGTGATAAAAAAAAGTTTATCTATGAAACCGTGTTTAACAGAAGAGCAAAACACTCACCCTCTTTCTCATGCAGCACACTGAAGGGCTGCAGCAGTTCGTGTTTGGCACACTCTACCACTCCAAGACGGGCTTTGGGCTCGTCCTCAAAAGCCCTGATGGAAAATGAACATTTTAAATTTACTTTAAATTGGAGTACATTAATATTTAATCTGTCAGTTTAAAATGTCAACAGGGCATTGGTAAAAATAAATAAAATAAACTAAGTATAAAGTGTTGTGTTCTGACCTAAGAGTGAAGGGCATGGCATCAAAGCGTCGCTCCACTTCACTGAAGAAAGTACGAGAAGTCTTCATCTTCAAACCATACTGCTTACTGGGGTCTCGCTTATAAATTGTGGTCCTCAAACCAGAATCTCTGGCCTAAGAGTAGACAAAAGACTTTTAAAGTTTTACCGTATGAGCCAGATGATTGCATTTGTAATGAGAACAGAGACACCAACCTTTCCTTCACCCGTGCTAATCAAGACGTCCACAGCGTATACTTCATGCACCTCAAACTCTGCCTTCTCATGGTCCTTCCTGCAAATCAGAAATTTTCATTTTTTTATACATTTTAAACTATATTAAGTAGCTCACAAACCCAATGTTCCAATAGTTTTCTTTGCTAATTAGACTAACGTATTTGATTCTGTAAAAGCAAAGTGAAAGTCTCCACATCCTTAAGGATGTGGAGAGGAGCGGCGTGTTTACTCTCGTCTTACATGAATCTTTATGCTACTTTTTAAACTATTTTGAGAACACACAGCTCAAGTTTCCCTCAATAAAGTTCAGGTTTTCAGTCATCTGACAGAATGTAGTTTGCCACTGGCTGGTTGTCTTCATGTGTGCTTTAGGGTTGAGCCATTTGTATTAACTCATTCACTGCCATTGACGACTAAAGTCGTCATTGGCATTTTTTTACTGTTTGAGCATTGGAACGAGCCCCCGCGCTGAGAGAATAAACATCTCAGCCCTGAAGCCGATCTTCATCCGCATACGTCACAGATCACATGATCAGGAAGCAGACCATCCATGTGTTTGGAGATCGTTTTGGGCCGTTCCTGTAAAAAAAGTGAGGCGCGAACCGGAGAAGCGTCTGCCGATCACAATTCGACAACGGATTATGAAAGAACGGATAACGCTCGAAACACACGGCTTCTTCCTGATGTTAGAGATGAGTCTCCTCTTTGTTTAGGTTGTTTTGGCATCGACATCATGCTAGCGCGCAACATTCTGTGACTCTTAAAAAAAACAGTAAAAACGGTGAGAAACGCTGGCAGCGAAGGCCGTTAGTGATCAGGAAACGGCTGGCAGTGAATGAGTTAAGTCTCCCACCGCCAATCATCATTCCAATAAATGATGGATAGGCGATTTATTTGTGCGTGTGACTATGAGCAACGTCGTGATGCACGGACTGATTCACAAATACAGCAAAAGTACAAACAATGATTTTTTTATTTTAAATAGGAGCGCAGCGCAAATGTTTGCTGGACAAGAAAGTTTGTTTTTTCTTTTTGTTTAATGTTGTATTTGTGGGTTGGTAGAGTGACGTATAAACAGCTTGTATTTAGGGATGCACCGATGGATCGGCATTTGATCCCAATCGGCCGATAACGCCCCTATCGGTTTAGGGTTGTCACGGTAACCGGTGTAGCGGTAAACCCCGGTAAAAAAAAAAGTTGACAATAATAATAACCGTCTTGTTTAAAAAAAACTATATTATCTCGGTGGGACTACAGTGGCTGCGGTGTAGGCGCGGTGACCCTTATCAGCCACCGTATCATCTGCTGAAGTTGCCGGCGGCACATGCGCGCTTTGATGTTTACAACCAAAACTTTCTTGAAGCTAAAGCTGAAACAATGGCCAAAGGAGGAGACAGAGACGCTTCAAATCTCATAACACATCTGCGTGACCATCACCCACAACTCTACAGTCAACGCAAGGCAAGCTAATGTTAGCGTTTTAGCTAAAATGCGTGATCCGAGGATTTGGGTTGAGGGAGAATGCGCTACCTGCATATAAACCGTGTCGCAGACACCGCCATGTTGAAATGACGCTATGCATTACGGGGCTCCCAGGGGCAGATAAGAGTTGGTCTCTCTCCGAGAATAATTATGAATTTAACAATGATTACTGCCTGATGACATTTTCCCACATCTGCAAAGCTCACTGGAAGAACACAAACCGAGGACAATATTTTCCTGATATAGGGTTTATTACTCAAGTAAGGGTAAAAAAGTATCTGATTAGAAGGCTACTTGAGTACTGAGTATCATCTGATCTAATATTTTTAAAATGATGACATCAAACAGACATAAAATAAGAAGTTATGGGCAAATATTGGTATTTTAAAGACTAAAGGGGAAAAATGTCAACAAATAAACAACATAATTACAAAATAACACATTTTAGGCAAAATTTAGACAAGCTGAGGACAATATTTCCTGACATACAGGGTTTATTTAATTGTGTGAAAATGTAGCACGTTTAAAAAAAATACCGCGATAAAACCAAAAACCGTGGTAATTTTGGTCACAATAACCATGAGTTTAAATTTTCACACCATGACAACCCTAATACAGACTATTTTAGATTAGGTTACATTTCCTTTATTCCCAGATTATGTAGTTTGTAGCACTCATTATAATGTTGTAGAAAATTTCTGGCCAATCCACGTGATCGGTATCGGTGATCAGCATTCTTTGATATCGGTATCGGCAGCAAAAAACCCGATCGGTGCATCCCTACTCGTATTAAACACGGTGAAGCCTCGTCTGTTCCAGGTAGTGACCCTGTCCTGAGTTCAAACACACCTTTGCTGGTCTGTCGGGTTCTGGATAATAGTCTTTTCTCCATCAATGACATGCTGCTTTAACTGGTGAGACAGCATTCCTGCAAAACACAAAAACAGAAACAATAAATGTCAAGCGTGAGTGTGAATACGTCCCCTTTGTCTCCATGAGTGGTGGTGCGATGGACTGGTGACCTGTCCACCTCTCGCCTCATGACGGCTGAAGCACCATCTCACCATGACTCACTCAGGACTAGGAAGTTCAGAAAATGAATAAATGAATCCCAGTTGCTGAGTCCTGAAAACAACCTCCCACAGGGTATGAATCATGCTCTCCCAATTATGATTAAATCTAAAGAATCAGCCGACTGAAAATCAGACACTCACCCTCAACCGGCGAGCATTTGAATGAATGTGCAATCTTGTTCCAGGCTTCTGTCACTTGAGTGTTCTGAAAAACAGAAATGTGAATAAATTTCAGTGTTTTCATTAATATAAAATGTAACACACAATGTCCTCTGAAACATAAATTACCTGGTTGCCGGGTTTCACGAGACGTAAAGCTGCTTCTGCACACAGATAGGCTGCTTTGATGACGTCTGCTTTCCGGCCTGTGATGGGGTTTTCCTGCAGAAATAAAAGTCTTTCAACACGTTCACGAGGTACGTTTCAAACAGACAAATGAAGATATAAAAACAAAGTTCTTACTAGGGCTTAGGGCTAGGCGATATGGCCTAAAATTAATATCATGATATATTGAGGATTTCACTCAAAAACGATAAATGGACAATAACTACAGGTACGCGCAAAAGCAAGTTTTTCACTAGATGGGGCTGTCACAAGGTGGTACAGCTTCTTAAAGGGACATGAATGTTGCCAACCTACACACATCTTGATTTTTATTATCAAATTTATTGACATGGGAAAAATTATCCCATTAAGTGTCAGAAATTTCGATAACGATAAATTTTTTTATTCATTGCCCAGCCCTACTAGAGCTGCCCAATTACCATATTTTCCAGAGTATAAGTCGCACCAGGCATAAAATGTATAATGAAAAAGAAAAAAACGTAAGTTGCACTGGACTATAAGTCGCATTTTGGGGGGAAATTTTATTATTTGTCTTACAAAATCTGAGACCAAGCGTTTCACATTGCAAGACAAGTACCGGTAACAATAACAGAATAAACAACCAGGGCGCAACAGCGCGCCACGGCCTCCAGCAGAGGATGGCGGTGTTTCAAACTCTCCCAGCGGGCGGGGAGAGCGCCCGCAGCACTCCGCCACAGGTTGCAGCAGGTGATGGCGGTGTTTGAAACCCTCCCAGCGGGGCAGAGGAGCTGAAACCTGGACCGGAGCCGGCCCGCAGCAGCGCGCCACGGTCTCCAGCAGGTGATGGCGGGCAAGGGAGCCCAGTCCTGGTCCAGAGCCAGCCCGCGGTATACATAATTTGGTATAGAAGTCGCAGGACCAGCCAGACTATGAAAATAAGTGTGACTTATAGTCCGGAAAATACGGTAATCGATTTTTAATAACAATTACGATCTGAGTTTTGAACAATTATAAAAACAAAACAAGCCGTTTATTCATTCCTCCCTCGTGGTTTATGCGAAGTTGCTAATCGAGCGCAACCCCTCACCCAACAGCGTAGCCAAGTCTTAGCAACTTGTTGCTATTTCTAACAAATTCAGATCCCCTTCTTTGACTTTTTTTTTAAAGTACCTAGCCAAAAACCTAAAAACATTTCTGGTAACCCATGGCTATTTTCTGGATAACCGTCATCGATATTTCCATCAGGTTAGCAGAACACCCAGCCTGCGCTCCCGATCTTCCGTCCGCACATTAGGAAAGGGAATGATGAGGAGGAGCCGGAGTGAGTGACACACAATGTACCCACGCAGGCTACTGAGCAGCAAAATAAACAGCTAAATGGGCACGCTGTACATGCACATGCAGCGTGCACCTGATCTACAACATAGATTTTTATTCGTTTCTAATCATTTTATAGTATCATTGCACATTAAAACTCTTGCTGGCAGTATTTGCATATATTTTTATTAAACTGAGTATGTATTGTATTGGGTACGCTTAAGTAAGTGAAACCTCAGCCTATACCCTTTCGGTCATAAAGTGCAATGGCTCTTTTTATTCTAGGAATCAGGAGTGGTTTTTGTGATTATCTTGTTTCTTTTTTATTTATTTTTCCCTCTAAATGTGCCCTGTGCAATTTAATGACCAAACAAACAAATAAATAGTTAAATAAAATCAACATGAATTAAAAATTTGTTTTAAATAATCAAAATCTCAATTTCAGTCAAAAATAATTGTGATTATCATTTGTCATAATCAAGTAGCCCTAGTTCTCACCTTACTGGCTCCCACGACAAAGCTATAAGCAACGTTAGCAATGAAGCCATCAACGTGAACCCCAAGATCTCTGCAGAAAATAAGACGAGCCAGTGAGAAGAAACAAGGTTTCACACTTATGTTAAGTTCACCGAAGCTGCCAAAATCACCAACATGGATAGAGACAACAATCAGTCCAGACAAGAAGTGAGGAAATTTCTAAATACATTTATGTTTATTCTGCTTTTACCAAAACCACCTTAGAGCTTTAACCTTGTGAGCATGTTTGGTTAAAACCAGAGTACCTGGAGAAAAAGCATGCATGCATGGGGGAAACACCCAAACTACACTAAACTAACTGATCCTGTGTCCTGTGTTTCCCATTGAAATGATTCCAGCCGCGGTGCAGCACCACGTCTGAGTCTATGTAGGAGAAACACTGGTCCTTACTGTGAGGCAATAGTGCTACCTACTGCACCACCAGGCAGCCAATACTAACTCCATTAGAGAAAAAAAAGATACTGCATTTAGTCAATCTCGGTGAAAAAGATAAAACAGACAACCATCCAACAACATCTAACCCATGAAAATCACTTGTTTGCCACACAGGGGGGACAGAAAGCCACACAGAGAACTCCCTCACACACACACAAAGGACAAACCATTACACAAAAAGTACAACACACTGAACACAGAGACTGAAGACACACAAGGGGGAAGGACAGTGCAACATTGATGCTGAACATGGTGCCTACATTTTAACCAGATCCCCATCTTTAAGTGTGTAGTCTGGGTCACTCTTCAGGGGAGAGAAGTGGCAAACACAGTTATTGACTGAGACGCTGGTGGGGAACGCAATGCCTAGAAGAGGAAGAAGAGAACCACCAAGTTTTCATTTGAAAATCACCCACAAATCGAAATGAGAAAACTCCAAAAAGGATTGAAGAAAGCTATGCTCGTAATGTTAAAACTTTCAACTATTTGGACAGTTTTTAAAAGCACCTGATCAGAAAAGTCCAATATATGTGTGAGATAAGTTATGAAATGTGTTTTGTCCTCCAGCTGGTTTTACCTCAACTTAAACACGTTTCCGACTGTTTGCCTTTTATGCTTTACCTTTCTTCATGTCCTTCTCCTTCTTGAAGACTTTTCCAGTCTCAGCCATGATATAGGCGTCTCCCACCTCACACAGGCTGAGCACAGAAACCCCGGGTTTGGCTGCTTCAATGACTCGACGGAGAGCCTCTGGGGTGAGACAAATGGCACGAGGCAAGGTGACAATGATTAACAGGACTCTGATAACATGACATAAAATCAGAATTCAAGCATTAACCAGTGTATTTTGAGTTGTGAATGTACTGACTCATGATTTCATATTCTGTGTGTGACAGTAAACAGCAGGTGTGTGATGGCAGAAGCTGAAACTAAATCTAGGATGCTTACACCCTAAGCCTTGGGTCATTGTTTATATAACCCCAGAGGGATTGCTTTGTTTGTGAGTTACTTGCAAGTACACTGTAGACAGACAAGGAATGATCAGATTCGGCCACATGTCATGGGACATAATTTTGATTTAAAACAAAAACCGACATCCCCAAATTTAGGAGGAAAGGTTTGTGTTTGTATGCCTTACAGTCATGTATGGGTCTCAGGCAGCACTCCTCGGCTAACTTGATTTTGTTTGCTATGCTGATGCCTCCCAAGAAAGAGCTATGGGCTGAGTTAGACGTGTCTAAACTAGTTTTTATTTCACAATTTCTTTTCCTACTCAATCAAACAATGGCACAAAAAGCATGGTTTGAGATGAACCATAAAATACAATAAATAAAGAACCTGCTAATTAAACCAGACATCGCAACCTGTGATATTAAGGTTTCTAATATTTATAAGTTTAAAGGGATTGATATCCAAATGTCGAATTCATTTGGCAATAAGTAAAAAAATGTAAAGCTGCTAAAATGGTTAGTGAGAAATTAGCATAAACTGAAATATTTAAGAGTAAAAATGTATGTTGTATACACTTATAAACGTGATTAAATAAATACACAAATGAAGTATTTTTAAAAATAATAATGTTCTCCTTTTATCGTTAAGCTTGTTAGCGTTTTACAGGCAGTTCTTAGGCTGAGCTAGCTGGTTAGTTAGCATCATACCCGTTAGTTAAAACAGCAAAACCCAAGAATAACCTTGAAAAGCAGCAGCTAGCATTAGCAAAATTAGTCAGCTAAAAGTGAAGGAGCTGCACCTGTTAGCACAGCATATGTCCGCCTCGAATATAGGAAAACCACATGGCAGCTATTGCTGCTGCTGGGAAACCTGTTAGCTGCCAGTACAACAGGCCGAAAGGGGCAAGTTGTCCCATTCTGTCTCAAACGACTACTACTTTTCCTTAACTTACGGTTAGCAATGTCACCACCCATCTTGTACTTGGTGACCACCAAGTCTTCGGCTATGGTCTGTTCCTGCTCCTCGTCTGACATCTTGGCAGTGGTTTCAGTCGTCTAGCGGCCCAGAAAGCGGCAGCTATCCGATGATCTGCTCGGTTCAAACCGCTTCCACCGCGCGAGCCTGCCACGGATCCAGAAACCCCTCCCACGTTATCGATCCCGTCGGAGCATTCCCAGCCCGCCAAAATGCGGGAAGTATGGCAAGCCGAGCTACTATATAATACCGATCATGGGCGTAATTTTCACTTTAGAAGCGGGGGGGGGGGGGGGGGGGGGGGGGGGGGCACACACGCAAGGGGGGGGGGGGGTGTATCTTTACAGTATGCTCTAATGGGAAACAGGCTTCAACACAAATGGTTGTTTTCCGTTTGGTCCTAGAGCTCAACCAGTGTCAATTTAATATAGTGTAGTGTTGTTTTTGGATGGTAAAAAGTGCAGGGGTCAAAACTTGACTTTGGAAAAAGTATGTGTGTGTGTGGGGGGGGGGGGGGCATGTCCCCCCTGTCCCCCCCAAAATTACGTCCATGATACCGATATTTTTAAGACTTGTTAAAAAAATTCAAATCAGCTTCCACCATAAAAAAGAGGAAATTTATCTGTATAGCACTTTACACAGCTAAAACTACACAATGCTTCACTAAAACAATACAAATATAAAAGCAGACAAAATAAAAACAATGAAACTGATACAATAAACAAATTCCATTTGTAGATAGAAGAGACAGGGGAGGGGTGGCATTAGGCCCGGCTACTTGGGCTCAAGCCTCGAATGTTTAATGAAAAGCCCCGGATCTAAATCGCGGAAGTAACATGCAGTACCAAATTCCAACAGAGAGGGAGGAGCTGGCAGTAGTCTGTATACAGCCTGCCTGAGCCTCCACCACTGAAGAAGAAGCCCTTCAGCAGCCAGCTTCTTCTACAGTCTGCCTGAAACGCATGAGTGAAGATGGACATAGACATTTTTTAGACAAAAAGTACCGCGACAGAACCCCATGATACTGGTGTTGACTCAGGTTTGTGAGTCTTATTTGAAAATATTTGTTGTGCTGCTGGTTTGCCTAAAGTTAGCTTATCAGGTAAAGTTGTTGGAGAAAGAAAGGGAATATTTACTATCATCTCACACTAAACACTAACAGGAACAATACTCTGCCCTGAATATGCTTAATATGTAGCTTCAGATTAAAAATTATGTGGTACAAGACAAATATATATGATGTTGACTAGTGCGTGTCACGTGTGTGTGTGCGTGAGTGAGCGCGTGTGTGTGTTAAGCCCCGGATCTTCTTCAGTCCTAAATCCTCCCCTGGAAAAAGTCAGTCAACTAGAACAAAAAATTATAAACGAATAAAAGCTTGTCTAAATAAAAACATCTTCAGTTGCATTTGAACAAATAAGCCCCACGAAGAGATTGCGGCAAGGCATTCCACAGTTTGGGGGCCATGGCCTCAAATGCCACATCTCCCCTGGTTCTAGGTCTTAGGGACCATGAGAAAGTTCCGGCCCGAGGAACACGCAGACACGAGAAGAAATAAAAGCATATATCACCAATTCCAAGTCAGAGTCTGACAAAATTGGTCTTAATTTGGCCATGTCTCTCAGATGAAAAACGCAGTTTCTTTGTAAACATCGTAGATATCTCAAACATCAATGGTCCTAGAAAAATAGCGCCTTTATTCAATGTTGGATGTTCCATCCATCCATCTCTTATACAATCTTGGGTTGTAGGTCTGGAAGGAAGTTCCAAATATCCCTCTCTTCTAAATGGAAGGAGCCTAGGCCTATTCCTAATGGTCACAATAGATTTGTACTCTTGTCCAATGCTCAGACCCTGCAATTAATGAAGTAGTTATTAACGCTTCCAACCTGCAACCTTCTTGCTGTGAGGCTATGTGCTACTCCAACTCCAAACAGCCCAATTTTTAACTTAATGTATTAATCAGAAGGGTAATAAAAACAAACATTTGTCTCATGAGCAGCAAACTTTAGTTCTTGTTAGGTGGAGAAAAAAACAACTCTGAAATGACTATTTAAAAATATTTTATTTAGTAGAAAATGTTTTTCATATAGCATTGATGTAAGAAGTTTTAAAACAGTTATTAACCCCCCTCACAAAAAACACATTTGTTCTAACAAAAATCATTAAATCATTAAAAAGGTAGACAAAAAATAGCTTGTAATCTGTTCAGTTCTGTTATAAATTTTCAGTGCTTTTATTCCTGAAATGCCCCCAAATCACAGGACACAATAATGTATGGAAGCCTATTTGTGACAACAAAATGGAAGAAAATAGCAAATATTTTATATTGAGAAACTTTATCAGAAATTCTCAAAATTACACAAAAGAAATTTCTACAGACTGACTCAGGTGCATCTTGTAATTACACACAATATTAATTTTTCTAACCAGGCCCATTAGTCATCAGCACACATTGGGTGAGCTGCAGCTGTGGCTGCGCTCGGGAGCTATATTTGGTGGTTTAACCCCCCCAATCAAAGCCCTTAAAGCTGAGTGTCAAGCAAGGAGGCATTGGATCCAATTATTTTTAAAGTCTTTGATGTGACCCGACTGGGATTTGAACCCCAATCTCCCGGTCCAGACACTCTACCACTAGGCCACTGAGAAGGTTCATGTACAGCTAGGCTACATCTGCTGTGATGATAAATGTACGAGAAGCCTAATGGTATAATATACTTATTCATGTCAAAAGTACATAAAAACACAAGGCCATGCTCGTCTGCTTTACTTAACGGCACAAATGTGTGTAACTATGATGCTAGACCAAAAGTCATTAATCTGAGAAAGTTTCTCATTATTTTGAGATTTTGTGTCAAATTAACACCAATATACAGTTATGTTAAAACACAATGTTTGTCAAACATGTGTTAATATATTACAAAAGAGAAATATACACAACAATAATATAAACAGCAGGTGATAAAAATGTACAATCAGTAAAAAATGAGAACAAAAAAAAATGCATTAAGTCTGCATAGTTCCTGAGGTGAGATTCATCCCTTTGAGTGAACTTGTTGTTTTTTTTTAACCAGCTTCATTGTCTGACTTCTGTGTTTCCTAGATTAGGTCCTTCATCACTGGGTCCCAGGCGTGAGGTTAACATGTTCTTCATGTTGGCACCGCGTTGGGCTTCAGGAACATCCTGCTGTGCCAGTAGCCTGGATTGTCAAAAGAGCTGTCTCCAACAGCAGCAGCAGCCTCCCCATGCCCGACTCCAGCCCGTACTCTCACATGTGAGTCATACTCAGACGGGCGTGGCCCTGTAGCCTCCATCCCCTCCCTCTGCATGTTCTGGTAAACCACCACATCAGCAGGTGGAGGCGCAGCAAAGCTCTCCATGTCCTCATATTCTTCTGCCTCACTGCTATCTCCTCCCTCTATCCTCTGCTCCTTCTTGTCTCTCAGAGCTCGTCTCAGCTTTGGCTGTTTGTTAGTGTAATGATAGTTGCTGTCCTCCACATATATGTCCTCCTCTTCCTCTTTTCTCGTCCTTGGTATAATAGGGGGCGGAGGAGGGTTGTGTTCTGGAGGGCTTTCGTCTCGTTCCCTCCCTCTGATGTCCATGTATTCGTATTCAACCAATTGTTCTGAATCAGACTTGTTCTTGCTCACTGTTGCTCCTCCCTTGACCTCCACAGACAACGTGGTGTCACAGGAGCACATTGTTGCTTGTGAAGATACAGAGGAGGGCCTCTTCTTGGTGGCATTCGACCAGTGGCCATTCGACCTCATGGAGACAGGTGTTACGCACATTTGCTTGTTCATGTACTCATACTCTTCATCATCTGGGTCATCCAGGAGGCCAGAGGAGCGAGACTTCGCCATCCTGACAGAAGTGAGTCGAGATGATGACAGCAGAAGATCTGAAATAAACAAATGAGTAACAAGTATTATTATTATTATGTTAGAAACTGATGTTCCCCTTATAGAAGTGCAGAATGAGTGTGAACACAAAAACCTGTTCCCTGTTAGTGGAGGCCTCCGTGCATTTTAGTTAAAAAAAACATTTTCTGTAATTCTGAATATTACTTGCTAACTGCTTTGAAGCTGTGAAAACTGTTTATTCTAGAGGAAAACATCCCTATCTGGGTCCTCCCTAAAAATAAAAATGCACCATTCAGTGGAAGACTGGATCTTCAGCTCGTCTTCTGCGAAGTCTCATCAACATTACCTCTTTCTGGGCTGCCTCCAGGAAGCACATATCCATTCTGATCTTCCTCTTCTATCTCTGGTGAGGGCGTCTCCGTCGGTCCACCCGACATGCTGTCTCTCTGTGACTCATAAGCACTGTCCTCACGCTGACGCCTTTGTTTGGGGCCCTCAGCCACCGGGAAGTCCTCACTCACGTCCATCTCCACCGCTGTGCTACACCCCTCTGAGCTCTCAGACACAGTGCGAGCAGAGTTCAGTCGAGAGCGTGACTGCCATGAAGCCTTTGTGAGAAATCACAGAATAAATGTAATTTTTTCCCAATAAGGTTGCGTATAATGTGGACAGGGTGCAAAAACATTTCTTGCAGCTTACCTGTCCTATAATGTCGACACCTGGGGTCATGGGCAGGTATTCAGCCCCACTTGAAGGATGTGGAACCAACTTCACCACAAAAAAAAAAACAAGATGTCAGATCAAGCAGGAAGGAAAATACTTTTGCAGACATTAAAAATGCTTTAAATCCAGAAAGGTGTGCATCCTACTCTGTGATGATCTATCCTAGAGACACGGCTCAGACTTTTGGACAGGTAATAGGCTGCTGGAGCCATGTCATCCACCCCCTCTGCCCCCTGGTCCTCCTGCTCCATATCTAAATCGTCAAAGTCATCAAGGTCTGCACTCCGCTGGGCAACTTCATCATGGGCCAGTTCCTGCTGGCTGCAGTCCTCCTGCCAGACCATGGTGAGACAAAGACTGGGGTTTTTATGCTCCAAAGAAAACACAACACTGATACAGCAGGTGCCGTCTTACTTTGACCACCAGGTAGCGAGGTGGGTCTCTGGCCATTCTAGTAAATTCACCGGCCAGCTCCTTAAACGTTGGACGGACATTCTCATCAATCATCCAACCTGCAGAAAACCCAAGAAGCAACAGTTTGAAGATGGTGCTAAGCTAATTCCCAAATATGAACCTCTTGATGTCAACAGAAACCAAGTCACTTACATTTAACCATGACCATGTAGACGTCAATGGTGCATATCTGAGGCTGAGACAAGCGCTCGCCTTTTTCCAGCAGATCAGGAACCTCCTGTGGAGCCATTGTTGCGTATGGCTCCGCTCCATAAGACATCATCTCCCAAACCGTCACTCCTAAAACAAGGAAGAGAAAGTCAGATTGACCTAAAAAAAAAAAAGGTGTTTTTTAACGCTGAACTCACCATAACTCCAGACATCACTCTGATGTGTGAATGTGCGAAACATGATGCTCTCCAAGGCCATCCACTTGATTGGTGTCTAAACATTTGACCAGAGACGTTATTGATGGTTGAGTGAGTGAAAACAGGTATGAGAGAAAAAGGTAAAAGCTGAAGACAAACTAACCTTAACCTCTTTGTAGTAATGCTTTTTGTCCTCAGGATAGAGCAGCTCTGAAATACCATAATCTGAAACCTGTGCTGTGAAATGATTGTTGATGAGCACGTTTCTGGCAGCCAGGTTCCTGTGAACAACGTTGTTCTCCTCCAGGTAGTTCATTCCCTGAAGTTAATGACAGCAACATGAGTCAAAGAACAGACTCGACTCGTGCGTGCGTGCGTGTGTGCAAATACAATAAGTTATATGTGTTATTGTGTTACCTTTGCGATTTGAACACACCAGTTGAGCAGCCTCTGAGGGCTGAGCTTGTTCTTGTTGCTCCTGACGTGCTCCAGCAGGGAGCCGTGGTTGCTGAGCGGGCTGACGAGCTGCAGGCTTTCGCCAGGACATATACCCAAAATCTTGGTGACGTTAATGTGGTTCATGCTTCCCAGTGTTACCATGAGCTGCGGGACATATTCAGGCTTTCAGAGAGCATATTTGTTTATAAGTGTGAATACAGATACTAAGAACAGTATTTACAGAGTGCATGGTGGATGAATGCCAATGGCTCCAAAGATCCTAAATAAGCGTTTAGGATTTATGCAGAATCAACAATAGAGGGATGTTTCAGTTCATTTTCTGTGTGTTTTTCTGTAAAAGTCATAAACCATTACTATCTCATTCCTTGTTCATAACTTTCTGAATGACCTCTGTTTGGAGAAATAGACTGATGAGCTAACGCTTGCGTGAGCACAGCCAAGACCAAACAGCTCGAATCTTCAAACTTTTGGACTAAAATCTTTACTTTGCTGTCAACTTCACATTACTCAGCTATTTCAGTAGAAAAGCTCCTACAGACTGAACCCCTGGATGCACCACAAGTGCTACATTTTGCTAACAACATTTGTGCTTGTAAATAACCGTAAACATTTTTGTGAATGTAACTGTACACTAAGATTAAGATGGGTGTAAAAGTACTGCTGTTTTCATGAACTGTGTAGTTTAGGAGATCTGAGCTGTTTTAAAGGCATACTTGGCACCTTTTTCATATTTTTAAAAATTTTTCTTGAGCTAAATGTGCTACAGTGACCCTTTACAGGGTTAATGAAAAGTCGCTCTGTATTTCTCCTCTGTGGCCAGAATACCGCACTTGCAACATCAGAATGCCGGTCCGGTCCCTGTTGGGTTTAGTAAAGTGGAGCTGAGGTACCAGTGCTGCAGTCTGCTTCCAGTGCATTTTCTGCATGTTTTAGATCATGAACACAGATGATTTGTTTCATTTAGTGATTAATTGCTCCTGCAGACGCTAATAAAGGCTGAGGAGACATTTAATCTGTTAGATTAAGGTGTTAAAAAGACAAACGCACAGTGAGATAAATTTCACTAACGAACACTAGAGGGGACTAAGAGCAAGCCAAAACTGCATACCGTAGTATCCATTTAAGACAGTAGCAATACCTCTGGCTGATTTCAACTTAGCTGTTAGCTCATCAGTTCCGTCAGAAGTCATCTCAGGCTTGGCTGTTCAGTAAGCTGATTACAATGAGTAAGATAGTAAATATTCATGACTTTTACTAAAATAAAGAAAATCTAGAGTACAAAATAGCCTGAGTATTCCATTAACATTTACACTCTTCTTCTACGAATGTGGATAAACTATGTGAAAACAGCTCCAATAACCCAAATCTGATCAAGCACAGAGAACTCAATCCACAGAGGATCCAAATGAGTCATCGTACCGAACTGGACTAAACCCACCCAAAACTCCTGTGTGCAGGCGCTGATATGTCAGAGATATCTGATCTGAAATCCTGCTGGTTTTTCTCCCATCAGGGCTGAAGGGAGCTCATGTAATATGAAAGTTTTAGCAGAATTCCTGTTGTCTTACATCTGTGATTTGGTAGAAGTCCTGTCGACCAGTGCGATCGTGAATCGTCTTTATGGCAACAGGCAGCTTCACTGTGTCTCCCTCGGGAATCCAAATGCCCTGTGAAGTGAAGCGAGCAGAGAGATGGTTTAACACGTTTCTTTGTGAGAGCATCCCACAGAGCGATCTCAGAATCAATAGGGATGGACAATGTATCGGCATCAGTATCGGCATCGCAGATATTAGTCATTTTTTAACATATCGGTATGGGTTTGATAAATAAAACCGGACCGATATTAACAACCGATATTTTTTCCGTCTCGTCTCCATTTGTTTGCCTGTTTCAGAGGGTGAGGTGGGTGATAAGTAATTGTTTAGTCACGTGAACAGTGAATGAAATCATCTCAGAACCGTAAATGTGTGTGTTGTGTGTACATAATAACGTAAATTCAGCTTAAATAATTTTCATTCTGTACAAAATCTGCTGATTTTAGAAGCATTAATGTCAGTATATCGGTATCGGCAAACATAGGTTACCGGCCATAACAGTGATCTCAATATTGGAAATCGGTATCGGCCAAAACATTTCATATCGATGCTTCACTAAGAATCAATATTACCTTATGGACGGTTCCAAACACACCGCTACCCAGCAGCTTGATCTTACGCAGATCAGACGGTTTCAGGAACCGAGCATGGACTTTCTCCTTTTCCTCCAAAGGTTCAAAACTCTGAAAGCACACAAAGTTAATTGTTTTCTCATTACAAGCGTCACAGCAAGTTTAAAAACCAACTATATATATAAAAAAATATACTTACTTCCCCACTCTCAATGTATCTCCTCATAGCTCTCTTGCGACGGATGGCGAGGCCTCGGCGGTACAGGACACTCAGCACAAAGATGGAGAACGAACAGAAGAGCACTGCGATTACTCCCAGAACAATGAACGTGGTCGATTGTCTGTTGACAGAGGTAAAAATGAGCAACAAACACTCAGTATTAATAAAAATCAAAGAGCTAGAAATATAATAAATCTGTTAGAATGAGGGGATGGTTTACCCAGAAATTGGTCCGTAAGTCCTGTCACAGCCTCCTTTACCTGGACCGGTGCACCTGAACACAGAACACGTAAACAAACAGCTTCCAGGAGAACAACAAACATGTCTCACCACAAGGTTCTGCTGCGGTACTCACCCTTGGGTGCAGTTGATGTGACATTGTTCGCAGCGGCCTCGCTTGTTTGGGTATTTATAGATGACTCCCTCCCCACCCATCAAACCTTCAGGACATGAGGAGACACAGTGTGGACCGTCCTGCAGGCTGGCACAGGCTACACACTGATCTGCACCCTGAAAGGGAGAACGTAGCTTTTTAAAAAGGTGGCTGACCAGCTGGTCCAAAGTGTGGCCCAGGAGCCATTTGTGGCCCGCAGAGAGATTTTCTGCGGCCCTCAATTGCATTTCTAGAATGATAGATTTATCTCACCAGTAGGCTGTTGATTTAGATAGAGAATGTTTATGTTAGGTGTTTACTAATATGCCTATTTTGACCCTGATTTGAGGAGCACAAATAAAAATGTAATCATAAAATAATTTTTTTAATTACAAACATTTGCATTGTTGTGACTTGCAAGGACTATTAATTGACATTTTGGGCTCTTGTCTTGAAAAGTTTGGACACCGTTAAGTCAAACATTTAACATGAGCACCGTAAAACCACTAGAGGGCAGCAGAAGATTAATGCACAAAGTTGTTTTGTTTCTTTTCAACTTTTCAACAGTGTGGCTTTAAAAGTTGCCATAAGACTTGAAAGATAACAGTCTGAAAATCCTACCGGGCCTCTGCAGGTCTCCTTCCCCTCTTGGACTTTACACTGTGCGTGACAGGGCATACACTCCCTTGACTCAGTAGCAAACTCCCTCATCTTCCTGCAATCACAACAGATAACACTGAAACCCTTGGGATGGCCACGCCAAAGACATTCAAATTAGGTTATGCTCATGAGTTATGTTCGATTATGTTATTTACTAAAGACCTACCCAGTTAGGAACATGCAGTCCTCCACACACACTCCTCCACGCCTGTATGTCTTACAGGAAACACACTGAGCTGGTCCTGGACCCCAGCAGCCATCAGAGGAGCATAAAGGGTCACACACGTGGTTTTCTTTAGCTACATGCACACACACAAAGCAGAATAAAGATGCATGTCAGTGGGTGTGGATGCAGAACTCAAAGTAAACTTTTGGGATTTAAATAAATATTTAAAATCCGTTACAAATGAAAAGTGACCAGAAAAAAGTTAGTTTTAATTTAAAGAAGAGTAGGCAAGGCAGCTTTTATTTATAGAGCACATTTCAAACACAGAGGCAATTCAATGTGCTTCACAGTTATCAGGACATGATATGAAAACAACATAAAAACACAGATTAAAATATACATAGATAGAATTATAGCTTAGAGCTAAAGGAGAAGACAAAGTCACAGCGCAGATTACAGTGGAGATGACGCAGCATAAGAAACAATGATTTTACATAGCTGATGAGTGCATTAGTGTTTTTAGTTTAGCTTTAAACAACTCGAGGGTTGGGGCAGATCTGAGGTCGTGGGGAAGCTGATTCCACATGTGAGCAGCATAGTAACTAAATGCATCTCCACCATGCTTTGTTCTGACCCGTGGTTCTACCAGCTGATTGTTTCCAAGGGATCTCAGAGCCCTATTGGGTGTATATACAGGAATGAGATCGGACATGTATTTTGATCCCATGACATTGAGTGACTTATAAACTAGTAGGAGCTCTTTAAAATCTACTGGTAACCAGTGTAGGGATCTAAGAACACGAGTGATGTGCTCCGTTCTCGTCGTTCTTGTTAAGACTCTGGCAGCAGCGTTCTGAAGTAGCAGCTATCCTGATATTCTTTCTGTTTTTGGCAAGACGTTTTTCCTGTCCGTGAAGCTGCTTGTGTTTGCTGTGCTAAAAGCGAGGGAGGGGACAGGGGACTTGTCTCAATTCTGGACAAGATCATTAAAAGCCTAAAATAGATGCATACATTTGAAAACTTGATTTATTAGTTTACAACAACAGCTTTTGATTCAAATATTTGAACCGTTTTTTTTATAATGTTTCTGATGGTGATCATTGATTTGTTTTAAATCAATGCATATGAGTATATCACTCATGATTTCACAACAAAAGCATGCTATTCTATTCTTTCTGTGCAGTCAACACATTGGTTTAATCTACGTTAAATGACTTCCTGCTGCAATGAGAAACAATTTCGCATTTGAGGAGAAAAAAATTCATCACTAATAAGTGTGTGAGACACAGACGGACTGCTTAATAATCTGGGATTTAACTGTAAATATCTTAAACCTCTGTACACACAGAAACATGCTGGGAAGTTTATTTATACTTCATTTTGAGCTTCATTTCAAAGAATAATTTATAAATTTATAAATTTTTATATAAATAGCATGATGATGGAACTATACAAGCCTGTATAGTGACAGCTTAGACCTACCAGTGCTAACCCACATGTTGTTTTGATGTTTACATCAATAGAAATATGCTATTAGGGTTAAGTTATGATTAGTTGTATTAATTTCTACACAACGTGGTATTTCACACCCCAGAGTTGGACCTGGATCTGTAACAGGGCTACATTGGCCCTCAGTCACTTACCACACTCATCTAGAGCTCTGTTGTTCCTGATTTCAGGCTGCTTGTTTCGTTTCTGTGGACGAGAGCCACTGTTTTGGATGCGCGTCCAGTTCACGTGTTATGGTAGCAGAGATTTTTATTTCCTGAGATGTAGACAATGCCGTCATTTATTTTCTGCAGTGAGTGGAGACCCAGGGGAGGTCAGAGATTCAATCTTCACCAGCAGGAGAGAGTAGCCTCTGAAACGGCAGGTGAGAAGGAAAAAACGTCACACGATAAAACCTTAGATCTAGTTAAAGGTTTTGGACATTTTTTAATCAATACATTTGCAGTGGTCTCTAGCAGGAATGAATGCCTTGCAAATTCTCCGGGACAAAAATCTCAGATGCACCTGTTTCAGAAACTAGCAGATTGCCACATCAGAGGAGAGCTTGTACGGCAGGATTTTCGAGTCTTACTTCCTGATGTTTGGACATCTCACCTCTGATTGGGTAACAGCAACGTGACGTCTACCACCGACTCCATTTGCTCTGCAATATTGATGTTTTATCTCTATGTATAACTCAAGCCTGGAGGAGTTTTGCTGTGTGGTGGACTTGCTAATGCTCATGGTTAGCTTCTACTAGCTGAGACGTTCTCTACTCTTTCCTGGATGCTAAACCAACAACAGCCTTCCCCGTCGTGAGTCATGATGGGTGAGTCATTAAATGTTAAGTGACAGTATGACGTAGATCTGTCAGAATTGTCTAATCCCAAAGTTTCACCGTCTATTTTCTATCAGAAGCTAATGCAGGAGATAGGTGTAGGAGACTATTTTCATGTTCAGCCTGCATGAAAATCTCAGAGTGACCGATTGTAATCAGAAATAAAAGGGGTTTTCAGTGTTCCACACCTTTAAAAGTAATTCAGAATTTATATTAACGTTTTACTTTGAAAATCCCATTTAGCTTTAGTGGTTTATTTTGGGATTTGGTAATATTCATGTTTAGTTGTTAAAACAGAATTTCTGATACACATTTTAAATAGCAAAACCTGCAACTATGACTGACAAACTTAAAAGTGAAATAAAAGAAAACCATCAACAGGCTTTTCAAATTAAAATATAACAAAATAAATGTTGTTGTATTTGAATCTATGCAAGACATGATCATTGAGAGCAATCAAGTCTAGAGATCCCAAATTATGGCAAAATTTTTTTTGCTTTATATTTGCAAATGGAAGATCAGTCTAAACTCCTATAAAGTAGTGTCCACCACCAATGTAATGACAAAATCCTTCAACCTAACCGCCACAGTGAGGAAAAATAAAACAAAAGTTTAGATTATAAATGTTTACTGTACCTTTTAGAATTTGATCCTCTTAAGAGATTCAAAACATCACGGGACAAGGAAACAGAGACATGGGACATGAGAGACAATTAGCTTTATGACTCTGCAGGTGCGTCGTGTGCTGCATTGCACAACACCACATAACAAGATGGCACAAGAACAACAATGAGTGGAAAACAAATGTTTACCTGTAAAGTGTTCTGCCTTGTATTGTGTGCAGATTGGAAAACACTGACAAGTTAGACAGGCTTTCCGGCCACGACTGGATATTTAGGTAGTCTGAGAATAGAGATTTTGTTGATATGAACATTAATCAGACATTACTGTGAGAAAGGCTCAGATAAATCAGCTCACACTCACCTGAAATTTCCTGCACAGTGCTAAAAACGTGAGCTTTTCTGGATCGAGGGCTGGGATATTTTTGTAAGAGTCACTTTAAACAAACATAAATAACAAATAAAGATCTCATTCAACTCTGATTTAAAAGAAGGCGACTTAAAGAATTATTTTCACTCACCCCTTTATTCCCGTCACCAGGAAGTCAAGACTGCCCTGGATCTTAGTGCAGTTGATGAAACTGTCGATGTTACTGGCGTCAACGGTTTCTCTGTTTGGACTTCCTGTGCCTTCACAAGCTGGAGGGAAAAGTTCAAACTTACAGATGCACTAAAACAACACTTTTGCCCTTTTTATCAGATTTTCCTAATCCAAGTCGAAAAACAAAGTGAGACAGTCTCATCTGTCCAGTTCTGCTCTGATACCTTTAGGACAGAAACCTCCACAGGGCTCACAACGTTTGACTCCATTTTTCTCCACCTCCGTGTTATCTGCTGGGCAGTTGCTCACACACGAGCTTTCATGCACCACAAAGTTGGCTGATGAGAAAAACAGACCCACAAATGCAGCTTGTCAGAGACTACATTAACATTTAACAACATGAGCTTTCTGAAACGCAAACATAACACTGCATTGATATAGAATGAATGGAGACCATGTGTGAACCCAGACTGTGTGTGTGTGTGTGTGTGTGTGTGTGTGTGTGTGTGTGTGTGTGTGTGACTCACGGGGGACACTGTGACACACAGATGGATCCATACTGGTACTTGGCGTTGGGATTGGGCTCCATTTTGAATGTGTTTCTGTTGTAGATAACTGTCTGGGGACACTGGGCCACACAGGAACCGGAGTTGTTAAAATTCTTGCAAGCCTGTGAAACGTCACATATCACGTTGATCAGAAGAAGTCATACATTTATGTATGCTTTGTGTCTGAGGCATGCTCACTACAGAAAAAACAAAAATTTGGACTGACTTACGACGGCAATAGTCAATAAATGTAATTTTTTTTAGACTCAAACCCAAGAAACACCAATTCTGTAATCTCTCTCTCTCTCTCTCTCTCTCTCTCTCTCTCTCTCTCTCTCTCTCTCTCTCTCTCTCTCTCTCTCTCTCTCTCTCTCTCTCTCTCTCTCTCTCTCTCTCTCTCTCTCTCTCTCTCTCTCTCCTCTCTCTCTCTCTCTCTCTCTCTCTCTCTCTCTCTCTCTCTCTCTCTCTCTCTCTCTCTCTCTCTCTCTCTCTCTCTCTCTCTCTCTCTCTCTCTCTCTCTCTCTCTCTCTCTCTCTCTCTCTCTCTCTCTCTCTCTCTCTCTCTCTCTCTCTCTCTCTCTCTCTCTCTCTCTCTCTCTCTCTCTCTCTCTCTCTCTCTCTCTCTCTCTCTGATTTTAAATAAGTAAGACAATATTGTATATTAACTAGAATATCAATAATATTTTCTCAAGGATTCTATTGTTCTTCATCCCAATTGATATACTGATTAAAATTTTACAACATTAAACATTCATTGGAGGTTTGCTTCCAGGACACGCATCTCCTTCCCTGATCCTCGTGGGCCCCATCCAACATGTTTAAGTTCTGCTTCAACACACCTGTTTTTCAACCAGTGGGTGACTGACTGGCTTCTGCTGAGATAGATGAAATGTTGAAATGGCAGTAGCTGAGGAGGTAAAGCGGGTTGTCAAGTAATCAGAGGGTTGTAGATTTAATTCCCGCTCCTGGCAGAGAATTCTGCTGTTGTATCCTTGGGCAAGACACTTAACCCACATTGCCTGCTTGGGGTGGTTGGAGGTACTGGTGGTGCCCATGCTCAACAGCCAGTGCACCCCAGGGCAAAACCATAACCATTAACGTGTGAATGTGTGTGTGTGTGAATGGATGAATGACTGTGTTGTAAAGTGCCTTGGGGGGTTCTAGGACTAGGCACTATATCAAACACAGGCCATTTACCATGATCTGGCTTCAGGTTAAATACACTGTAGTGTTAATTGCTTTGGAGTCCTCGGACTCTGAAAGGTGCTACACCAGTATCACTTAGGTTATTCACACATTGAACCAGGTGTGTCGGAACAAAGAAGCAACTAAAACATGCTGGATAGTGACCGTTTAGGACCAAGGTTGGAGATCCATGGTCTAGGCTAGAGAACAAAAATCATTATTTCCACTTTTAGAAAAAACATCAAATGAGACGACTTGGGACAGATCTCTGTGTCGCCCTTTTAGAGATTTTGGGGCCTGTTTGCTCCTGAGTTGTCTTTGATACAGTTATTCTGGAGTGAAACAGATCATTCTGGAAGAACAGAAGACTCCTATTTTTTTTAGACTCAGATATTTTTGTAAATCCTAAATTATTCAAGAGTTAAAACTTCCGACTCACAAAGCAGTCTGATTCCAGGGGTCCCATGCAGCCTCCAGCACATTCGTTGTGACAACACTCACTCGGGTTTCTACCAAAGCACCGACCATTGCACTGAGGGGCGCACACCGTCTTTGTCACTGAAACAGAGTAAAGAGTGCGTTACAGTTCTTTGTTCAACAGAGAAAAAGTTATTTTTACCTCGTTTTTGCTGAAGTTTCGAGTCTTTCGACTATCACTGTAGCCATCTTCAGAGCTTTGCCGCTGATGGTGGCGTCACGTCCTTCTCCGTTTATCTGTGGGTGTCAGAGGATGGTGTCGCCCTCTGATGACACAGTCTCAAGGGTGATCTAACGTTTAGACCCCATCGTCTCTGTTCATGATTGTGTAACCATGTCTCTTTAATGCCATCTCTTCCTTAATCCATCTTTAGTATTTTTGTTGTTTGGTGTTTATGATTGTGTTGTCCCAGTCAATTATGTGATTCTCCCTTGTGCAGTGGTCTTTATTGTACTTTCTGCTTCTTGTGTGTCTTCCATATGTTTCTTTCTCACACTCTTTTCTATGTTCTACTGTTCATGTGTTGAGTTGGCGTCCTGTTTCTCCTATCTGTGTTTTATTGCAGAGTTTGCATGTTATTTCATAAATGACTCCAAACTTCTGTCCTGCTGACATCTCGTCTTTTGGGTACTAGTCTTTCTCCAATAGTTATGTATGGTTTAGTTGGTGTGTTCATGTTGTGTTTTTTCATTGTTGCAATTATTTTTCTGTTACACCTCTGAATCATGGAAGGGTTATCACTGGTTTTGGTTCTTGTTTTTCTGGATTTCTGTTTTTTTTTCTTATCTTTGTTGTTTTCCTTTGTTTATTGCCCATGTCAGGTATCTGCAGGTCTTTAAAGCATTTTGTTTAGCTTAGTCCTCTTAGTTTATGGTCTTGTTCTTCTGTTATTATGTTCGCTCGGTGGCATCACGTTCTGATCACTGACATTTTATGTATGGTAGGGTGTTCTGATGTCCATAATAGATATTGGTCTGTGGGTGTTGGTTTTCTGTGTTTATGTTCAGAGTCTCATCTTTTGTCTGTTGAGGGTTAGGGTTCATGTTCATTAATGTTACGTTGCCTTCTATTTCTTCCTCATATGTACATTTTTTTGTAGTTTGTATCAACTATGTTGTTCAGGTGTTCTGTTAGTGTATTTATTTGTCCTTTTGGTGTGATTTCTATCATGTCATCCACATAGAATTTCTATAATGTTATTTTGCAGGTTTGGGGGGGGGGGGGCAGTGGCTACGGCTTTTAGTTCTAGATCATCCATGAAAAACTTGCAAAGGGTGGCTGATAACGGGTCACCCTTGGCGAAGCCTTACAGTTTGCTGCCCAGTGATAGACAGAGAAGGAAGTGACGCCACCAACAGTAGCAAAGCTCTGAGAAAGGCTACTGTGATAGTCGAAACGTCAGCAAAAAGAAGGTAAAAATAAAACTTTTGCTGTGTTAAAAATGAGAACTGTTGTGCAGATGGGTGAAACACACGGAATGAATGCACAAAAGATGCTTAAAGAGTAATGAATGAGTTTACACTTTACACCAGTGTCAGCAACTCAGCACCGGTGTGAAAATGGCACGTGAATCCAGATTATTAAAGCTCTAACTACATTGTAAAGAATGGTTCAGTGACTGATGTGAATCTCAAACTTTCCTTGGTTTGTTTTTCAAGCATCGCTGTAACAACTGCATCTCTACTGGGCCTGTTGGATTCACTGGAGTTGCTACAGAAAATGGAAGGATGGATAATGAAAGTTTTGATGTCACTCACAGATCTGACACGAGTTGTTTCCTGGTCCCCAACACGACACGTCTCCACATGCTTTGTCACAAGGCACTAGGGAGCATGTAAAATTCAGTTTTACTTACTAAGATTTAATTTTGACATTCATAATCTGGAAATCTGCCAGTTGATACTCTAGCATAGGCGCTGTTTGTATTACTGGAGGGAAAAAAACAGCTCTGCTGCTTGCTTGATTAATCAATCCTAGATATGATGCTCTCGCTACCTTATGATGAACATCTATGCAATAATCTCATGCTGCCTCTCATAATTGGGACTCACATTTAGGACCGTTGTCTTCAATCTCGATGTGAGCTGACTCATCTTTCACTATGTCCAGCCAGTTCACCTGAGGGGCATAGCTCAGGTTCCGATTCTGAGTGATTTTGACCCCTCCGTCCAGTATCTCTGCAGGTGACACATATTTATTTAAATGAGGGAAGTGGCAATTAGCAAAGCAAGCTCGGGCAGGCCTGTGACTCATTCCACAAAAACATTTGCTACTCCTCACACAAACACGTTTCAGTGGGTCAGAGCTCATGTTAAGGTGGCAGTTGAGCAGTTGAGCGTTTGTCGCATTCCTGCGACTTCACCAGTACTGAGGGTGTGACTTCACTGCGTGGGTGGAAAAGAGCTCAGGAGTCCTTATCTGTTCCAGCTTGACTTCCCACTCTTTAAACACACACGGTACGCAAGCTGCATACCTGTGAGGTGTGTCAGGCCCAGTTCTTGGAGGCCATGTTGACCGTCTCTCTGGTAGTTGAGCATCACTGCCAAGGCGTAGCGGTCTTCAAACAGAGTGTTGCCTCTGATGACGCGTAGGTTGTCGAGTGGGAGCCGGCTGAACTCATTGACAGCAAATAGTATGTAGCCTGTCACTTCCTTAATAGACTGCATGAAGAATAATAAAAAAAAGAATAAGTAATGTCACCTCAGCTTTGTTCTTTACTGTCTAAAGTGGGATTGAGCTATGTATACTTTCTAAGATTCTTCGTCAGAGATAGATCGATAGATAGCTGTATCGCTGCCTAGAGCAACTTTTAAGACAATTACCAAACTTAAATCAACATTCTTTGCAACATAACTGAAACTACATGTCACCCTTTCATTATATACCCAAGTGGTTGCCAAAAGTATCGTCAACAATTCCACAAGTTTCTACTTGAGACTCACTGGAGTTTAAAAGAGCTAAATAGGTCTACCTGCAGGAAGCTGAAGTCCCTGGTGTGCTCCATCATGGCTATCTCCAGGTTGCCCATCACAATGACACAGCCGGTGTACATCTTCTTTGTCAACTCGTACTGCTTATCGGTGTCTCCTGTCATGCTGAGAGAATTCTGGGTGCCGGTGCAAACAGCCACTGGAAAAGTAGAGTAATTTGATCTTTGGTGTGTCAGGTTATTTCTTCAGATTAAATTTATAGACATATATTTGGCGTTTTTGTATTACAACTACAAAGAATCAGTTTGTTAAAACAACTTTGCATTTTCTTTACCGTCCTACAGTCAGATTCCTGGTACTTGCCTCTGATTGGATAACAGCAACACGCCTTTACTACTGACTCTGTTTTGCAACATTGACATTTCATCTCCACAAATAACACAAACGTGGAGGAGTTCTGCCGTGTTGTGGAGTTGCTAATGCTAACAGTTAGCTTCTACTAGCGGAGACATGCTTTGCTTTCTCCTGGAAGCTAAACCAACAACAGCCTTCCCTGTTGCAAGCCAAGATGAGTGAGTCCATGAATGTTAGTTTACAGTGTGACGTAGATCTGAGTAGCCTTTTCTGACCCAACCGTTTCACCCACTATCGGCGGCTAATGCAGGAAATGGGGGATAGAAGACTTTTTTCACATTTAGCCTGCATTCAAAACTCAGAGTGACCAATCAAATTTGAAAATGACAATTAAATATGATTTAGTGAACTTAGTGTTTATTATGATAGCAGATAAAAGAAACCATTCATGGGAGTTTGTACAAAAGGGCAGTTTCATCCCATTTACTATAAGACTGTTCATCTCTCTCAAACTGAATGAATGTACTGTAACAGTGAGAAACAAGCTGAGAATTGTGTGCAGAACATGTCCTTTCGTCCAACACACACACACACACACACACACACACACACACACACACACACACACACACACACACACACACACACACACACACACACACACACACACACACACACACACACACACACACACACACACACACACACACACACACACACACACCCTTGTTTATGGTCAGTGGGAGTTCACAGAGTCAGCATCACTACTTTGCTATTCAAATACCAGATGGGAGCGAAGGAGCAGAGAGAAAATGGATGAAGAGAACAAGAAAAACAAATTAAGAAAAATAAATAAATACATATGCACAAACATAAAAATGTGATTTCTTGTATTTCAACAACACGTGCAGTCTTACTAAATCAAAGCACACAGATTCTGATGACGTTGGGATTTAGATACATGCAAGATCATATGAAATTATGAAGTGATTTTCTGGTAAAAATAGACTTTGATTTCATTTAATATCGGAGCTCCTTAATCAACTTATCATTGAATTAATAGATTAGTTCAACTGGATTGATATGCTAATGGATAGTTCAAGCAGGGCAAAGGTTGTAGTGGATTGCTGCAACAACTCCAATCAAATAAAATCAAATCTGCAAATTTCACCACGGTTTAGGCATTTACCGTTTTATATATTTGGCCATAAACCTGCATCATGTCCGTTCCAGCAGAAATATGACTTTCCTACCAGATCTCCTTGAACACTTAACTGAGAGATTAGTTCCATGGCAAACAACTGAATTATAGACGTGCTCTGGCCTTACTGCCGGCTCATTAGATTGGTCAGATGTAAAAAGAAAGCTAAAGAACAGCTGATGTAGTGTGTCATTTAATATTCCGTCATAAATGACAGAAAACATTGAACGGTTAAAAACATTTGTATATTGTCTTTAAACAGATTCAATGCACTACAGTTTGTGGGATCATTATTGGCCCTCATATCATTTCACAAAATGTAATACATGATAAAAATGTTTGACACAGAAGGGAAATATCAAACCTGCAGGCTGCAGAAAACAGAATATTTGATTCAAGGGTTTGTTTCAGGATTTAAACAAACGCATTCTAACATTCAGTCTCTCAATACAAATGTAGAAAATTGATTTAACGAAGCATCAACTCCATGGATTTGTTTCCAAAACCTACAGAAAAGAAAACTTGATAAAAGCATGATAAAAAGAGCTCATTCCAAAAACAATCTTGGTGTTTTGACTCATTAGGTTTAAACAAGCTGGTTGTGCAGGCTAAAGACAAAGGGTGACAGATCATTTGCTGCTGTGGCCCCCAGACGCTCTCCCCCTGAGCCTGAGATCAGTGGACTCAGTGGTCTCCTTTAAAAAGCAGCTGAAAACTCACCTGTTCAGGCTTTTGCGTGACCTTCATCACCACTCTCTCCTTATTCTGCTCTACCTATTCCGCCTTTCCCAAGATCCACTGATTTTCTCTTTCCTTTTCCTTACATTTTTAATCACATTTTATTTTCCTCATTTTTTATGATATTTATTAATCATTTAAAAAAAAAATTTTGTTCTTGTGAAGTGCCTTGTGATTTTTATCCTGAGAGGTGCTACATAAAAGATTGTTTTCTTTCTTTCTTTCTTTCTTTCTTTCTATATTTGATTTTTATTCAAGGAAAATACAGAAACTTTATGTACTCTTCGTGTTTTTCTATGCTGTTTGGTATCAGACATGAAACACTTTGGCAGAGTTGTGAGGTTTTCCATTAACTGGCATTTGGGTCAAAACAGAAACCAGAAGAACAACAGGATCAACAAGGGCATAAAAGACTAATGATTATTAACCATACAGCCCGTGCACAGCAGGCAGGTCAAAGCAAGGCACACGCACGCCTATGCTTGTTTTCTAAGGACATCGTCACTCTGTGGTAACCTGTTGGTTTTCACTCACCATCTAGGTTTAGGTTCTTTTGGTTTGCGTCGTGGTTTTTAACAAATTTTAAATCATTTTCCTGGATGTATGCTAATGTTATTCACCCTTCAGGAAAGGAAAACCCATTCAGTGTTTGTGCATGTGAGGTGATGTGGCAACAGTCTTTATCATGTGATCATAAAGTCATGTTCAGGGTCTTTTATTGTGTTTCAGGGAACACTTAACTGAATCTGACTCTGTGCCATAAACACAAATGATGACAAAAATACACACTTCCCTCATGGATGAAAAAGCTTTCTGTGATAGGACACAGGAAATGTGTCTTTGTTCACCCGAATCAAAGTTCTGGTTAAAAAAGAAACACTCGAGGACTTCAGGAACATCCAGGGACTTTATTTCAGGAAGGACGTTGTTGCTGGTCTTCTTAAATGTCACTGTTTCTTTGTGTTGAGCAACAAAAACCCAATTCACAGGCTGTCAATGTAATAATAAAAACTCTGAGCGAGTGGTTTTCTGTAGGGATTATAAAAAGTTGCAACCGAGCAGGCCAATCTTCTGATTAAGGACCCAGACTTGTAGTTTTTCTAAGATGTTTGCAGTTCTGGATGAGCTTTGTTTCAAGTCTGTGAGAACAGCTGTGATTAAATCTGAACTTTCTTGCTTTGGAAAAAAATAAAACACAAATCCTTTAATATAATGGGTAAACACATTTGAGCAGAAAGAGGCAATCCAGCAAGTCTCTTTTTCTAATTTGGTAAACTCAATGCAAAGCTAAAATTAAAAATGACACATTTGTCCTAATTTCTTTCAGTTTCCTAAAATGTTTGATATAAAAAATGTTCAGAAGTTTGTCTCAGAGGAAGGTGTTGTTTTGGATGGGAAGTCTGTAATTTTAGTTTATATAAAATTTCCCCAACAAAAGTCACAAGGGAATCTGTACTGCCAGGCTCAGAGCTTGTGTTTGCAGAACAGATCTGCATTGTTCAGTGGGATTATGGGAGGTTTCAGGTATGATGACAGTCAACACTCGGCACTCCTGAAACCCTTCATCTAGATGCTCATGGGGTCAGGAACGTCAAAGCTGAAGAGTGTTTCTCAAATGAAAGATTGATGCTCACTTCACTTAATCAGGAAGTTGTGGTAAAGGTGCAGAACACTTGTTTATTCAATACATTTGCAATGGTCTCTAGTAGGAATGACTGCCTTGCAATTCATACTTTGGGGAACAAAAGCACCGGGAAGTCTGTTCCAGTGCAGAGATGTTCTAATGTCTAATGTTTCTGCACTGGTAACCCATTAACTTTAGAATCCAGACTATAACATTCAGGGCTCTACGTGGTCAAGCTCCTCCCTATCTTACTGAACTGTTAAAGCCTTATGCTCCGACCCGAGCCCTCAGGTCCACTCACCAGAACCCTCTAGAAGTTCCAAAGACCAGATATAAAAGTCGAGGAGATCGCTCCTTCCAGACCGTTGCACCCCGACTTTGAAATGATCTTCCTTTATCCTTACGCAGCGTTGACAGTCTGGACACTTTTAAAAAACAGCTAAAGACTCTTATTTAAAGCTGCTTATACCTAAATCTTTTATTTCCTTATTTTTAACTCAAATTTTTTATCTTTCATCCGTTTGTGACATTTTATAATTTTATGACTTAATTTTTTCTGATGTCAACCTAATTCTGTTTTGAGATCATTATGATTTTATGACTTTGTTTTATTTTGTTTCGATCTATGTGAAGCACTTTGTGATTCTATGTCTGTGATAAGTGCTATATAAATAAAATGTACTTACTTACAATGGGCGAGAACAGAACTGAGCTAAACACCACAAGATTTAAAGTCTTACTTCCTGATGTTTGTACATCTGCTTCTGATTGGCTGATTCACCGACTCTGATTTGCAACGTTGATGTTTTATCTCCACAAATAACATAAGCCTTGAAGGTGTTCTGCTGTGTGGTGGAGATGCTAATGCTAACAGTTAGCTTCTGGCTGAGACGCTCTCTGCCATTTCCTGGACGCTAAAACAACAACAGTCTTCCCCATCATTTGCTTGGGAGGAATTTCACACCCAAGCAAATTTTTCTAATTTTTCCAGAAATGGTAAAAATATTTTTAAATGTTGATTTTTCTGTGAAAACAGCATATTGTGGAACTAACTTATGTGCAGATGTCTTGTTGGGTTCTTGCTGACATGGTCCACTCTGCAAGGTGTTTGAGCAGGAACGAGATACGTTTATGAGCAGCTGAATTGTGCAACTTCCAGCTGCACGAGAAGCCAAAATGGACTGAGGTGGAGGCTTTATTGTCAATGCATCCTCACACGAACACAATGGTCCTAATGTCAGAATGCTAACAGCAACCATTTTAAAGAAGCGCTTTTGAACCTTCCTCTGTCGGATTCTCAGCACCGCCACTCACTGGGTGAACCCACTCTTCCATGGTGTCATTGTCCTGTGTGCCAACTTGTAACCCAACACAATAATGAAAGAATTCACGGATCAGGTTGAGCTGTTATTTTCACCCATCGGTTACCGAGGTTTCAACACCGCAAAAGAACAGAGGGAGAGACGGTAAAGAATAGAGGGAGGAGGAGATAAACAAGCTCGGTGGAGCAGCAGAGACGCCGGATGATGTAAACAGAAACTTGGCACTGGAGGCCAGAGATTACTGCATGCTTCACAGGTAAATGTGCGCGAGTGTGCACAAAGAATGGGCACCTGTATGACAAATCAGTTCATTTAATACAAAAATAACAGGTTTACAGATAAAGCCATGTGGGTAAATTAATTGGAGGATTTTATTTGCGTTAGTGACGATTAAAATCATGCACTGGAATCAAAAATCAACTTCAGATGGACTTCACTTATTTAGGCATAACCTGTTAAGAGATTTTAACCCTCTCAGGCTCAAAATAAGTTTTGATAAAAGGACAAACAACTAAGTCCTTCAGGGGCAATTAAAATGCTCATGAAATACGTATGTGGAGTAACCAGGTAGGTAGGTTTTAACGTTGCAAATCTGCAACGCCTGCCTCCAGAGGGTTAAGTAGTTAAAACTCTGATTTAGTTTCAAGGTGACAGATGTTGAGTCTCTGAGCCACTAAACCTTTGAATTTATTCAGAATGTCACTATAAGTACAACAAACGCACTCCTACTTGTTGGCACAAAAACAACACTGAACAGATCTGTTGATATGTCATTCTGTGTTTCTGACAGTGGTTGTGTAACTGTTTTTATGGTGTAAGTCGGAGTGCTGCTGCTCGTCTGCAGCGTGCAGAATGCTGCAGCAAAAAGCACAAATATAACTACGTGACACAGATTCTGGCTGTCAGTTTTTTTAAATTTGTTTAAAAATGCTTTTATTGGTGTTTAAAGCACTGAATGGGTTGGCTTCGGCCTAATTGACTGAGTTGTTGCAGCCATACGTTCCCGCTCGGACGCTTCGCTCTGAAAACCAGCTGCTGCTTTTGGGCCCAGAACTCGGCTGAAGATGAGAGGGGACAGGACGTTCTCAGTTGTGGGTCCAAAACTATGGAACACACTTCCCTCATCTGTTAGGCGCTCCTCATCAGTGTTCAAAACTCGTTACAGAATGAATTGAAAATGTGTGTAAATATTTTTCAGTTTAAGAGGTTGTATACAAACAGAATATTTCAAATGTATGAACTTGCTGAATACTGTTCACTATGCAGATTGTAATAAGGTGATATTTTCTTTATGTTCTTTATGTTTAAAGTGACAGTGTGTGGCTTCCCTGGCGACAGGGGGTAGTACATACCTAAATGATTGCAAGCAAGCGTTACTTTTGTGTTCAAGTAAGACCTTACCAACGGATGCCCATTAGGGTGAAAAATCCCAGTGCAGCCTCCAGCAAAATGACAAGAACATCAGATCCCCTTTCATCACTGGCAATGAGTGAAGAGGTAAATGTGTAAAATGTTTATTAACTGTGAAACTTTTGTAACCGTTTGTTACAAACCAAGAAATGCATTTTGTCCTAACGGGCTTCCATAGCAGGAAACATGGCATCCAAAATGGCGTCGCCCGGAGATGTAGACCTGCTCCCATGTAATTTAGAACAGATTTTTATGGTTATATCTCATGAAACTGCCAATATTTTTCATCAACTGGGGATCTTTTAATTAATTTACAACAACATTTTGATGGATATTTCCAGATATTAATGGTTAAAAACTACACATTGTCTCTTTAAGAATGGGACAGTTACAACATGTTTTCCTTCCTGCTCCTTTTCAGTCATGGTCGTGTTGTAAGACCCCTCTCTGTTAATCATTTTGTTTAACGGAGATGTGCACAGCCATGTGCAAAATAAATAAAAAATGAATGAATGGATGAAAACGAGACTGAAGACCTATTTTCATGTATTTTATCTCTGTTGGTTAACTGTTTTTATTTTAATAGATTTCTACCTTTTCATTTTTACTTTGTCAGTTTTACCTGTTTTATTCTATTCTTGTACAGCACTTGTCACATGGTCCACGTCTGTAGGTGCTCTACAGATAAAGGCTGAGTTCAGTTCTGACTTGATGCTCAAACTATAATTTTAGAAATTCATTAAAAGGAAACTGGATAAATAGAAAAATAACATTTATTTGCACAAAAACTGTGATCCAAAATAAAAACAGACTGATAGATAAAAGTGACTTAGTGAACAGTGCGGCTTTTATTTCTGAACCATTCAGCCAATGGAAACGAGGCAAATCAGTGCATCTTTCATGTGGATGATTTCCAAATGTTCACAGCGGAGGCAGACCGATTTTTGGCCAACTGGTTTCATCAGATAACCAATTATTTAAAAATATGGAGTTATGTTTGTACATTTTTAACGGCATAGCAAAAAGTTGAATGAATGTGCAGTGACGTCTCACTGCAGCCCACATTTTTGTTTATCTAGCAAGAATGTTGTTATGTATTGTGTTTTGTTTTAAAGAAAATTGTATGGTAATAGGCCTGCATTTGTATAGCTCCTTCTTAGGGTTCTACAACCCCCCAAGGCACTTTACAACACAATCAGACATCCACACACACACTTAAACCCTGGTGGTGATGAGCTGTAGCCACAGATGCCCTGGGTGCACAGACAGAGGCAAGACTGCCAAACAATGGCGCCACTGGTTCTGAAACACTTCTAAGTTTCTGTTAACTTTTAGATTGTTGACATGTTTAGCAGAAACTCAGTCACCTCAAATCTAATCATTTGACTAACCATGGGCGATCTCGTGTTCTGGATGTTTTCTCAGAGTCACTGAATTTATTCACCTGCAGCCAGGTGGTGAAATCAAAGTCCACAACAAGATTCAGATCACAATATCTTTCTCCTTCAAAAAGTAACTAAATAAATGTACTCAAGTACTCGAATACTACTCTCTGATGGATGGTAGTTGAAGACGTCCTTGACCCAATTTTAAGTGAAGAAAGTAATATTTTAAAAAATATGATTTAAATACTTTTAGATGGGGACAAAATTGTAATTTTCAATAAATAAAATGCAACTAAAACTGGACTTGAAAATGTTTCAGATCTTTACATAATCAATCAAAACATTATGCTTTTGTTCAATTTAATTATGTTTTAATTGATTTATCGATTTGTAAAGCTGATTAAATTAATGATCAATACATTTTCTTAAAAGTAAAGATGCATTATTAACTTGTTCTCCCAACAGTTCTGAACAAATAAAGCCGGTTTCCTCTCACACTTATCAATGTTTGTTCCATTATTGATTAAAGTGAAAGGAGACTCAAACATTTTGGAGATAACCTTTTTTAAACGTACACCAACTTTGGCTCGACTGTGTGCTCCAGGAGGTGGAAAAAGGTTGGGCTCCGCGTCTAAAAACCTTGAAACAATTGAAGCAAACACGATAAAGCACACAGAGCCGTGGGAGAGGTGCAGGTGACTCACAGCAAACAAGTTTAACTTGTGCTGAACAGGTTTTCTGTTTTTTTCAGGACAGGTGTCCACCCACCACGACTCGGAGCTCTCGTCCTGCTGGATGGCAGATCATTTTCCAAAACATAAAAATGTGCGAGGATGCTGACATGTGTGTGTGAGTGTGTGTGTGGGGGAGAGAGAGAGCGTGTGTGTAGGCCCACCTTCTGGCGTCTGATCACCCTCCTGCGTTTGTGCGCTGCAGCGTGCGCACAGCAGCAGGAAGAAAAACACCTGCTGCACCTTCCGAGTGAGGGCGGTCATCCTCATTCAAATCTCCACAGTGGTGAACTTCAAACAAACATCACAAGACAAACAAAAAGGAAATATTCCTCTTCTTTTATCATCGGAAGCTGTCCTCGGCGAATCCAAACCAGAGAAAATCTCAAATTAGACCCGATATTAATCCAAAATGAGGCGTCTTTATTCCCGGAGCTGCGCTTTCTTCTCCTGAGAGGAGGAATAGATCCGCCCTGGAGAGAAACCCTGTGTGTGTTTCGGTATTTGACTTCCCAGCCGGTTTGTGTGTGCTCAATCACTACAGCTCAGTGATTGGAGCGCAGCGCTGAGCCAATCAGAGGAGGGAGCGGCTTTTTCCCCAGCACTGATTTATAAGAGGGCTCTGCCTGCACTGACGCCCTGTAAGCTGCAAGGCTGATTTAATTTCATTTCTTAAAGCTTTTCCTTTGAAAAATACATTTTTTTTCTATTTCTGACACTTGTGGATATGTTGTATTAAATCCCTGCAAAAATTTGCATGTAAGAAATTAGTTGACTAAAAACTATGACGCGTGTGACCAAGCCTCAATATATGACGATTCGGGGCGCCCCAGCGCATCAGGAGACAACGATCAGGGACAAACAGCTGAACAGCGTCCCAGATCGTCGGTCTCCAACGCCGGTAGTGAGACGGACATTAGAACTACTTGTGAACTACTTAACCTTCCCCTCACCCCAATCCTAACCTTAAGGCCACTGTTTATGGACCTTAAGGTTAGGATTGGGGTGAGGGGAAGGTTAAATAGTCAAATAATGTCCGTGTGACTGCGCGCGTCAAACATTGACGCCAGCGGAGCCACGTGAACCAGCGTGTTCCTGATCGCCGTCTCCTGACACGCTGGGGCGTCCCGAATCGTCATATGTTGTCGCGTCATATTTTGACGCCTTGGGTGTGAGGATGTGTTGAAGGAATACAAACAAGATGAGAGACCTTCAACCGATCCAGGAAAATTAAAGAAAATACTATTTACAAGTGCCTGCCCCCCCCCCCCCCCCCCCCTTAGTGATAGGGTGAGAAGCTCAGTCATCCGGGAGGGGCTCAGAGTAGATCCACTGTTCCTCCACATCGAGAGGAGCCAGTTGGGGTGGTTCGGGCATCTGGTTAGGATGCCTCCTGGACGCCTCCCTGGTGAGGTTTTCCAGGCAAGTCCAACTAGGAGAAGATCCAAGGGAAGACCCAGGACAAGCTGGAGGGACTTTGTTCCTCGGCTGGCCAGGATTCTCCCGGAAGAGCTGGCCCAAGTGGCTGGGGAGAGGGACGTCTGGGCCTCTCTGCATATGCTGCTGCCTTCACAACCCGACGCCGGATAAGCGGGTTAGAATGAATTGATGGATCTTTACAATTGTCCCTTTACTTGACAACTTTTAACCCATTTAATTCAACCACTTATAAACACATAACAGGCATGGATTCATTTTAAATGAGATCTTGTTGCAGCCTGTCGCACAATGTGTTCCCACTTTTTTCATCTGAACCCGTGACACATTCTAAAGATAACACATTCTGATACATAAAACAGTTCTTTAGCACCAACAAAGGGTTCCTCAAAGAGCTGAGGACGTGTTTCTGTTTGCCCTGCAAAAACTGTGCATCTAAGCTCTCTAAATATTTAAGAAATGAACACGACTGAACCAGCAGCTTTGAACCAACAGGCCAAGAGGATCAACATTTTGTTTGAATATGATTGAACATTAATAAAGAGGTCCGCTGCTGTTCAGATGTTGATTTCCATCTATGTGGTTCCTTGATGTAAAGTGAGCTTCATCCTTCCAGTCAGGCTGAGTCACTTCCTCGTCATCTCTCTGTCACTACCTGAAAACATGTTGTACTCAAGACTGAAGCAGCGTCTCTGATTCACTGAACAAGTAACAAAAGTCATCTATCTGTGTGTGTCATGGTGCGCTGGCATGATTCTCCTAACGATACTTTGACCTCTCCGCTCCTTTCTGCTTCTTGTTTTCGTTTTATTGCTGCAGTATGAATTTACTGTCGGACTTGGGACTTGTGCACAAAGTTGTTTATTTATTTAGTTTTTTTTTTTTTTTTTGCTGGAAACAGATTTCTGGTTGTCTTGTAGAAGTGATCATTTGGAAGAAAAAAAAAACAAAAACAACTTATCTATAAGTGGATGAGCAAGCCTAACAACTCTATGGAAACCAGTTCTGCCTGCACGTCCAGTCCATGTCATGCACACTTCTAAAAACACTGTCTGTCTGTTCTTCTATCTTGTCACGCCAAACTTAAAACTAAATCAGAGAAAGGAAAAATAAAACTGCTTCTCCAAAGAAAAACACGAATTCCTGGCTAAGCTGCATAAAAAGAATACACGTTATGTCCGAGCAGATATCTGCTCAAAACCCGAAGCAAAAATAAGACTTTAACACCCAAGGCACAAACACAATAGTTTTTCCTGTAAAGCGAAACTGTGCAAAAAAATATTTATTCTTGAAAACAGTTTAAAGTGATGAGGAAGATCCTCATTGACACTAAAATATACTAAAACAGTTTGCAGATTTTTATAAAAATCAACAATGTATCTCTTGTGCAGCATTGCATTGCTTTGCACTCAAAAACAATTCATTCTCTTAATCGTAGCTGAATTGTGCACTTTATACCACACCTGACTGCAATGAAAAAAAAAGTGTTTGATACTTTTTATGATTCACGATCAGTGAACAAAAACAGAATTGTGTTTACTTTTTAGTTCCAGGAAGTTCTTGGCAGAAAAAGAAACTAACACACTGTCTGACCTTCGTTTAATCCTTCCAACAGAAGACGAAAGCCTGTGTGAACCCAGGATTTTATAGAAAAGGTTTCTAAGAGAGAAGAGTGATTAAATTATGTATAGTTAACTGATCAATAACTAAAGAAAATGTTTTTCTCACTGGGTTTTCTGCACTGATTGGCTAGTTGCTTTAGATTGCCCCCTTCTGGAAAAGGCTGGAAACTGTAACATCTGATCTACAGGCACAGCCCAAAAGATTAGAAAATCATGAAAACATTTCAATATCATTGCTCACCCCTTCCAGGAATATTAACTCATGTAATAAATGAGATTATTACACATAGAAGGACATACTTCAAACCTTTATTTCCGGTGATTTGTATTGTTATGGCTTCCAGATAATGGAAACGTTAAATTCAGTGTCTCAAAATATTAGAATATTATTTTTTTTAAATGACGTGTTGGAAACTTATGGTGTCACACCATAGGACTCCAAATACCTGCGCAGGTTTCCTGAGCCTCTGAGGTCTCAGTCTGTGTCTGCAGGCTGCACAGCCACAAAGAAGAAGACTGCCAAATGCTGCATCCAAGCATATTTGTAGAACGTTGAGTGAAATAGAAAAGCGCGGTATGAAAAAAGTGCAGCAGCAACAAGGAGAACTGCAGCCTCGAGATGATAATCAAGAAAAATCTATTCTGGAATTGAGGAAGAGAGGAGAGGCTAAGTTCAGGATGAGGGAGGTTTCCACAGTCTCAGATGATTTGATGCTCCATGTCCTCTAATGTGTTGGTTCATATTCAACGCAGACATCTAGCAGAACATTTTAGAGCTCCTCGTGGTTCTGTCTGTTGACAAGCATAATGGAGATGTTGATTTTATTCTTCGGCAGGACTTGGCTCCTGCCCACATTGCCAAAGGAGCTTAAAGACTGCTTCAGTGACCTTGGTGTCACTGGGCTTGATAGGCACAGAGCTGACCTAAACCCACTATAGAGACAAAAGACCCAGCAGTGTAGATGAAGGTGACTGAAGGGTACGATGTTTGCTTCCTTCACACATCAGCAAAGCCACAGGTTGAAGGCCTCCATGCCACGTTGCATTGAATCATGCAAAAGGAGGCCCAACCATAAAAGAGATGATGTGTAGTTTTTACTGTTAAACTCTGGAAATAGGCCGTCAGTGATAAGAGACGAATGGAGAAAGCTGTGAAACGTAATTAATGCCACAGCCAGTAGCGGTTTTAGGCATGGGCAGACAGGGCAGTTGCCCGGGGCGGCATTTTTTCATGACACAAAAGGGGCGCACAAGCGCAGAGTAAAAAATTAAAAAGAAAGAAATCTGCGCCGCACCGAGGTTTTCTATTATCTGCCATATCACAGAGTCTGGATTGGAAACAGCAAGTTGGCGCCCCCTGCAGCTGCAGGTGCACCTGCTGACTGAGAACGTTCACGTGCACCGTGCATGTATGAAGAAGAGGCAGGGGAGGGGTGCGGCATGGGAATTCACCTCTGGGTCTTTCCCAAATGAAATGAGCGGGTAGGGGCTGAATCAACTGTATTAACATGGCTAAAGTCAATCACATCTTGATGTTCTTCCATTTAACGCACATTTCATTCATAATATCATAAACACAGGCCTATCATTCTTTCAGGTTTTTCTGAATTGTGTGAAATGGCCGAATAAAAAAAGGAAAAACAAAACGATTTTGTGGTCACCCCTCATCAAGGTCAAATTGTTTAGTCCTGACTAAAGGAAACTTATTGAGTCAAGAGCCAAACAGAAGAGATGAACATAAAAAGGCTAAAACCACCAGGTGCCCGATTCAGGAAAAAAAAAGAAAAAAGAGGAGAAAGATAAAGGTATGTACGCTCTCATGATGCATGTTTTCAATTTTTTGAACCAGTTAACTGGGATTTTAACGGTTAAATTCTGTCAACTAATTGCTAACAGAGCTAATAGGGCTGAAATATTGAAACGAATATTCAAATGGTTCGAAAAAATTCCTTGAATTGTTTTTTACTGATTCAAACTAGGATTTGTTAAATGCTCGCTGCAGCCCGTGGCCTGCCTGAACAACAACAAACACATGTTGATCATGTTCACATAATAATAAATAAAACAATTCTACAAGCAGAAGAAAACTCCCCAGTCACCACTAACTATCTTGTTTATTTATTGCAGATGGCTGCACTGATTATTTTTTACATGATTTGTTCTGTAAAAGTTGGCATTTTTGGTAGTCTACAGTTTTTTTTATGTCAGTTTAAATTACAATTTCAGAGGCAATTCTAAAATATTATGGATCATGATAAAGATCTATTGGAGATCTACCCCAACTTTTGGACTGCTCTGCCAGTCACTGTGGCTCAAGCTGAGAGGAGCTTTTCAAAACTTGATCAAGTCATACCTGAGGTCAACTATGTTTCAGGGGCGGCTCACTAACCTGGCTCTGATTAGTATCAATCACTCAGTAGGGGAGCAGATTTCATATGATGACATTATTGATG